GAAACTGATACCAGTCCAACAGAATTCTGCCCAAAACTGACCTAAAGTGGCCCATCTTCACACAAAGTGCCAAATAAAACCTGATAGGACAGCGCCGGTTAAATTACAGAGTAACGGCAATAATATCTGCAATATCAGCCGTCCATGATTGATTTTAAATTCTGCGATAACACACTGATTCAACGAGCAATGCAGGATGTTAATCTTCACTTGTTTAATTCTAAAACCCTGTTTCTTTACACAGAACATCTTCAACATACAGTAGAAACAGTTTCAGCCAAACCAATGAAACATAAACATCCTTTTGGCTGCACTAAACCAGCTCGCCTGCTGCTTGAGGCTGGAACCAGCTGCCGGAAGATCTCAGATCTGCTACTAATTTGTCCGTCTTTAACCTCAGACTCTTCTTTTTATCTTGTGCGTCTTCCACACTTTCTGTTTAGACTTTGCACTTCTTTTCAATTTATTTTATATTTTACTTCCCCCTAAGTTTATTGTACTGTTTTTGTTTTGCTTTTGTTTATGTGAAGTACTCTGATTTGCGCTTTTATTTAATAAACTTGTAATAAATAAACATGCCATGCCTTCTGAAGTCTTCATTAAACCTGTGCATTCATAATTGTGTAACTGATTCATTATAAGATCTTTAATTAAAAGATACTGATTTTCCAGACTACTGGCTCCCAGTTTTGTTTGATGTGAGGAGAACCATGTTCATAGACCGACAGTGCTGTAATTTGAGAAGCTGGTCAGGAAAGAAGTAACTGTGAGAGAGACTGTAAGAGAGATTTAGATGCACTGCAGTTTGGTTACAGGGATAAAAGAGGGTGGAAGATGCAACAGTGGCGTCTCATCATCTTTAATATGAAGATTTGGACGACTTGTTATCTGTGTATTTGTGGAGTTTAACGTACTGGGAAAAAATAAAAACGTAAAATGTGCCATAACTTTTGCACAGGCCACATTTAATGTTTAATTTTTTCCCTAATCTGTTAAATTCGGTAAATAAACAGTAAGTTTGTATTAAAATGTGCAGAAGTGAGTCTCTGTAGAGGATGTGTTTACTTATTCACACTTAGAGAATCAACAACAGCATGGAATTTGACCAGGGGCGCCCAAACTTTCACACACAAACTGTATGTCTGCCTATTCAGCCTAAAGCAGGTTAGCTCCGCCCACTCATGCCAAAGTTATGAAGAATGCTTTCTGAATGAGGCTCAATACAGAGCAGCCAATCAGAACAGACATACACACTTAAAACAGATCAGAGGTTCTTTAGTAAAGAAAATGGTTCTATATAGAACCATGAACACTCAAATAACCCTTTGCATGATTAAAGGGTTCTCTGCATGGTCAAATTGTTCTTCAGATCGGGTTCTGCTATTGTTATGATGTCAAGTAGCAGAACCCTTTCTTGTGCTATATAGAACCATATACAACACATTCTCCATCAATCTGAGGAACCATTTCACCATGCAAAGAACCCTTTAATCATGAACTGGTTCTATAGAGCTCATTGTTCTAAATAGAACCGTTCAGAAACCTCACCATTCACACAGGAACTGAATGAGTGAAATGCAGGCGGCGCTCACGAGCAATGAAACTGTAACCCGAGCCGACCGCAGACAGCGGATCTGCGGGCTTCACGCGTACTTTTCCATTCCACCTTAAATGCCGCAGCAGTCACAGTTCAGCCTCTATGAACTGTAGAATGTAGCTGCTGCGCCATTTAAGGTGGAACGGAAGAATTCGAACAAGAAGCTGTTGAATGCGAAGTGACTTCAGCTTTGCGACTTTTTAGTGTTTGTCAGTTTCTCGCTGCAGATTAAACGTATCAGGAAATTAGAAATTAGAAATATGATTATAAACGTAAATAAGTCCATTCATCTCCAAATTAACTATGTTCATCTTAAATCTCTCTCTTTGCTGTTTCGTTAGCTACTAGCTAGGCGAGATTGTTGTCTGTGTTGCTATGGTGACCAGCAGTCTGCGCTGATCTTCAGGGTTAAAGGGTGAATTAGCAGTTCCACATTAACTCCAGAGTTTAAGACCATTTACTGTTAAACTGTGTTGAACGATCAGCAGAGCTTTATTTTACTGTAAAGGAGGATTATTTTATTTTTACCTAATAATCTGATTCTGCTGTGGAGCCACAACAGGGCAGTAAAAGAACAGCATGCAACTTCAAAGATAGACACTAGACACTTTAATGTCACAATAATAGCACTTACAGTTGTCTAGGGCAGCTCTAGCAGGGCGGAGCTTTCCCAAACTGGCTTGTGGCAAAGGTGGCATCCTATGACGGTGGCATGTTTAGTCACTGAGCTCTTCAGTGCGACCCTACTGGCAGTGTTTGTCTGTCGATACTGCAAGGCTATGTGCTTGATTTTATCCACCTGTTAACAGTGGATCTGGCTCAAACACCTGAACTCAGTAATTAGGAGTGTCCACATACCCACAGTAAGTCACTGTGGGTGATTGGTGCTCTTGAGCTGGAGCGTCTGCTCAAGGAAGCACAAAGGAAGTGCAATTATATTCGTAATGAGTGTTCAGTGCAGATAATACGGACAGTATCTGCTGGAGTGATGTTCACTGCTGTTCTCTCTCGGGCCGCCAGTATTCTCCAGAGCGAGTGCGCTAGCAACCTGACGCTCAGCTTAGTTTGGTTACAGCTGCTCTAGCAACACTGTCTCTGCATATACCTGAGAGAGAGAGAGAGAGAGAGAGAGAGAGAGAGAGAGAGAGAGAGAGAGAGAGAGACATTATCTCATTAGATACACATTCTGAAATGCGGATCTGAGCTACATTCTCACAGTTCATTATTTCATTGAGGTGCGTTGATAAAATCAACACGTAATTAATGAAAACAAGAAAAGGACGATGGATTTGCGCTCAACTCCTTGGGCGCCGGCGGTGAGTTTTCCCTCAGCTCTTCTGAGATTTACACTCATCACAAAAACATCATTATGCTTCAGAGGAGTTGATCATTAGAGGAGAGCTCCACTCATTTTCTAAATTTTCTGCATAATTAAGTGGTTAAGATGTAATCAGAGTGGTTCAGAGTGGTTTGGTGTGAAACGCTCCGTTCTAGATAAACTTACCGAGTCAGAACTGTTCACAGTGGTGGTGATAGGAACCAGACGTCCCCCTCTAAAAGCTCCCTCACAGAAAGTTCCTACATGAAATGGTTATGAATTCACTGCCTGATGACTGAGACACTGTTTTATGATAGTTTTTGTCTAAAATGTATTTTTTTTTGGGTAGAGAGGTATAGTCGTGTAGGTTCAGTGGTGGTTTGGGGCAGTAAATAAAACGGCTATGTTTACGTTTGCAGAAATTTTGAAAAAATTGGTGGGATTTCCCTTTAAATTTAAAGAGCTCATATTAAAATATTATATTAACATAGTAATGTGCAACAATGCAGTGTTTTATGGATTCATCTACAGATACAAAGTGGAGTTAGAGGTGTGTTAGTGTGTATGTTTTCTATATTTCTACATTTCTGTTCAGTGTTTTCCATGTTTCTCCTGCTATTGTTAAAGGGGAATTCCATCAAATTTTCAAAATTTCTGCAGAAGTCATTCAGAGTGGTTTGGTGTGAAATGGTTCAGATGTCTTTACAGTGGTGGTGATAGGAACCAGGGGTCGCCATGACTACAACACAGATATAGACATTTTATTTACTATCCAGAACCACCAGTGAACCTACACGAGTCTTCTGAGTTTATATGGAATGTTGATGATGGAAAATAGTGGAAAATCTGAAATAAGTTTTCTTTGGGGACTATTTTGCCTCAAGGCACTCTGCATGTATCCCTCCACCATGAATGGAGTTTAAGTTCTCTAAACTATCATAAAACAGTGTCTCAGTCATCAGGCAGTGAATTCATAACCATTTCATGTAGTAACTTTCTGTGAGGGAGCTTTTAGAGGTGGACGTCTGGTTCCTATCACCACCACTGTGAACAGTTCTGACTCGGTAAGTTTCTCTAGAACGGAGCGTTTCACACCAAACCACTCTGAACCACTCTGAACCACTGTTTACATCTTAACCATTAAATAATGCAGAAATTTGAAAATATTGGTGGAATTCCCCTTTAAGAATGTAATTGTAAACATGTAAATTTCATGTTATCGTGGCTGTTCCTCTTTTGTCAAGCTTAGATGCCCTGAGTTTGTTCAAATTAGATAATAATATGAGTTTGTGTCTTTGACTCTTGGACTTTTTTCAGATCCCAGGTTCATCTCCTGCTGTAAGGACGGACGTGGATCTTCAAAAAGACATCAGAACAGCACGGTTTTCCTTGGAAGCGGCGCATGAGGGACATTGCAGGCCTGAGGCGCTGAAGTTCACCTCTGAGGAGTGACCCCCAGCCCTCAAGACGTTTCTCCATTTTCACTTTTCCGGGAGTCGTCCCGTGTGCTCTGACTGTTAACGGACAGCGTCGGGAGACTCAAGTGGAATAGACACCTGTGATGTCATTGGAAACTTTCAGCCCTTTAAAAAGTGCAGTATTATGTTGAGAACGTCTGGATTATGCTGCCTTCATGTGCTTAACAGAATTAGCATAAATATGAGTGGACCTAAAATTGTACATAATCGCCTCTTTAAGCTGTAATTAATTAGCAGAGAAAAGAACGTTTTTAGTGATTTTCTATTTCGCCACTTACTTTTTATCAGCCACAGATTAAGGGCAGAGCTAGTTAGCAAACCATGTATACAAAGCACTTGACCACAAAGACTTAATATATAATACGTAATACATCATTAGTGTATAATAACAACAGGGAAATGTTGGGAAACTACCAAAAATAGCAGGTTAGCAAGGTAGCTAACCATATTTCTGAATACAAAGCACTTCAACACAAATACTTCATCGTAATCACAAGAAAATGTTAGGAAGATACCAAAATCCGTCAGGCCAGCGAATTAGCCACGTATATTTCTGACTACAAAGTGGAAAACAGGTCAGTCTGAGTGAGTGAAGGCAGCAAAAAAGATGTCCCAACAGCCAGACTGTGTGGTGACCATCCCCGAGTCTACAGGGATGAAGGGACAAACACACAGGATGAGTCTGCGAAGTTCTGGACGTTTCTCATTCCTCCCTTCGTTCCTGCGCCTGACCTTCTCTCCGGCCTCCCTCGAGAGAGTCTACCAGACGTATTTTCTGCGGCAGAGGCAGGAGACGCTGCTGGCGCTGCTGGTTTCCGCCGTGCTGTTCAACTGCTACGTCATCGTCATGGCCGCAGTGCTTTATTCCCCCGACAAGCTAGCCACGGTGTTAGCGGCTGCGATCGGGCTAGCACTGGACAGCGCGTTTTATGGCCTCTTGAGGTCAGGCAAACTGCCGGACAAGGTCATTCGGAAGGTCGTGCCGTACATCGCGTGGCTGCTGATCACGATTCACGTGCTGTGCTACCTGGGACTGAATTTCGTGGGTGTTTACGAGCCCGGAGATTCGGTAGGCTGGCAGACGTTCTTCACGTTTTCCTTCTTCCTGACGCTGCCCATGCCACTGCCGCACGTTGTCCTGCTGGGGGCGCTGTCGTGCGTCACGCACACGGTGCTGCTCGGGATCGTGGTGGCGCAGCGGCGGCAGGACAACCTGCAGATGCTGATCAGACAGGTAAAGTCACCAGTTCCAAACTGCTCCTCGTGCCTAATACAATTTATAGTTTTCATTCAAGGCCTGCTTTATCTAATCAATACTTCATTAAATGACATCTGATGTGCTGATGGAGTTTAATAAATTCATGTGATGCTTTGTTTTTTAAACTAGCTCACAAGATATCACCTGCTTTTTAAACAATATGTATTTTACTGTATTTGTGTTTATGTGCATGTATTCTAATGAAGTGTTGATTTTACAAGCAAAATGTTTTTTTTCCAAAAAACTGGCTTAAACAAAAAAAAACAAACAAAAAAATTGATTAACAATTCTAGTCTGTTTTTGATTATCAGTTATTTTATTTTGTATTTTATTTTGTACAACCTTTTACATGAAAAAGACAAACTATGCTCTGTTTATGTTTTAGTGCCCCTTTATTTTAAATACAGGGCATTAAACAATGCCACACCATGCTTATATGATTTTTACAAAAAATGTCATGCAGACTGTTCATTGCAAGGGCTTAATTAGATTTTAAATAATTAATAAATAATATATATATATATATATATATATATATATATATATATATATATATATATATATTATAAGGTACAGATCATGTAGAACAACGCTGTTAGCTAAACCTTCCTGCAGGTCCTTTGCAGTCTTATGGGGGTTTTGCTTTGCCTTCTGTTCAGCGTGTGAGCGGATGTATCTGAGAGATCCAGATCTTGCCTTCACTTACACAGTTCCCCTTAACTGCCATTTCCTAATGACATTTCGGACAGTGGAAATTGGGAGCTGTGTTTTGATGTCTCTTTATAGTCATTAACTGCTTCACAGGCTTCAATTCTCTTTATTTTCAGCTTTATCCTCAGCTTCTCAGAGGAGCTCATAGTTGTTGAGTGTTGGCACAAGGTTTGAAGACTCTGTCCTCATGACAACAACCTGCACTAGTCTGTCATAAAAAGTCAATTAAGGTCTAACAAGTTAATTCAGGTCTAACAAGTCAATTAAGGCCTAAGGAGTTAATTAAGTTCTGAGTCTTAACAACTGAAAGATGTGTCCAAAATGTTCACACAAAATGATTTTCGATTATTTTTAGGTCTATCACTAATAAAGTAACTGTGCATTAATATTTGCTATATAAAAACAACTTTTGCATACAGCTGTACATGTGTACACTCTGATACACAGCAACGTTTACTGATATTTGTCTGTGTCCGTGTGTGTGTATGTTTGTGTGTGTGTGTGTGTGTGTGTGTATGTGTGTGTGTGTGTGTGTATGTTTGTGTGTGTGTGTGTGTGTGTGTGTGTATGTTTGTGTGTGTGTGTGTGTGTGTGTGTGCAGCTTGTTGCGAATATGATGCTGTATTTGGGCGCCATGGTGGTGGGTGTGATGTCATATTTCATGGCTGACCGTAAATACCGGACGGCGTTCCTGGAGGCCAAACAGTCGCTGGAGGTCCGACTGACGCTGGAGGAGCAGAGCCAGGAACAGGTACACTGTCGTCTTAAGGGCCGTCATTATTGATTACAGAAACAGTCCATTAATTTATTGATTATTTTAATTGTTATTCGAGTAATTTGAATAACATCACATATAGTTCACACTGCATGTGTCTAAAACATGTGATCACAAGTAGCATAGTGTGAATAATCACAGTGTGTGATCACATGTGGCATGTTAGAACCTGAACAGAGAACATGTGATCATACGTTTTTCACTTGAGAAACTTTGTTTGACTTGAGCTTGGTCGTGTTGGTCTTGGTGTTGACCAGCTTGGTCGTGTTGGTCCTGCTGGTTGACCAGCTTGGCCATTTTGGTGGTGCTGGTTGACCAGCTTGGTCATGTTGGTCATGCGGTTGACCAGCTTGGTCATGTTGGTCATGGTATTGACCAGCTTGGTCATGTTGGTCTTGGTGTTGACCAGCTTGGTTGTGTTGGTTGTGCTGGTTGACATGCTTGGTCATGCTGGTTGTGCTGGTTCACCAGCTTGGTCATGTTGGTTCTGCTGGTTGACCAGCTTGGCCATTTTGGTGGTGCTGGTTGACCAGCTTGGTAGTGTTGGTTGTGCTGGTTGACCAACCTGGTTGTGTTAGTTGTGCTGGTTGACCAGCTTGGCCATTTTGGTGGTGCTGGTTGACCAGCTTGGTTGTGTTGGTTGTGCTGGTTGACCAACCTGGTGGTGTTAGTTGTGCTGGTTGACCAGCTTGGTCGAGTTGGTTGTGGTGTTGACCAGGTTGGTTGGTCATGTTGGTCATGGTGTTGACCGGCTTGGTTGTGTTGGTTGTGCTGGTTGACATGCTTGGCCATTTTGGTGGTGCTGGTTGACCAGCTGGGTCATGTTGGTCATGCAGTTTACCAGCTTGGTCATGTTGGTCGTGCTGGTTGGCCAGCTTGGTTGACTTGTTTTGCTGGCTTCCCATCTCAACCAGGCCAAACTGCTTGTTGAAAACAATTTTTTTTTGCTAAGAATTTATATCTGCTCAGTAACAACAACTGTGCATCTTAATAAACATGTTTGCTTTATAAACGAATGTTTTTAATCTGGTTCTCAATGCTGAGTCTCTGCTAGCGCCCCTGTGGGGATTAGCCCATTGCAAGAGAAAATGGGGGCAGTGAAATTAGGGATATAAACAGAATATCCGGTTTGGAGTTCCTTTTACTTTTGGCTCACATGTTTATCATTTTGTAATGTTTTTCCCACATACAGGGGACCCTGTTCTTGTAAATGTCCGTGTATGGGCTGTAAAGCCTGTTCCCCACTGCTAGTTTACTGGGCGAAAGGGGGAATTGTGTGTATTTGACACTGAACTATCGCTTTAATTCTCTACAGCATTATTTCATTATTCTTAATTAGCTGTTTAGTTGGTCTCGTTGTTGTGAACAGCAGCGCGGTGCAGTGTTTACCCCCCATTACTGTGTTTAGTAAACTGTGTCCTCATTTATCTCCTGATGATCCATCACACACACACAGTGAAACTGCGTCCCCTTGGGACCCCCATTATAGCCCTCATCCCTCGCTCCACTCCTCCTTGCTGTTATTCCTTTTTTTTCCTCTGCGTCTCTCTGATGCTCTGGAGCCTTGAAAACTCCCAGAATGCCGCAGGAGAAGCCGGGGCTGCTGGGAAACGCATGCGGACGACCAATCGGAGCGCAGCCGACCGCTTCACGTCACCACGGCAACGAAGCTCTGGAGACAAACCCTACATCCCTCCATCTCCTGCTCTCTCTCTCTCTGCCTCTCTTTCCCTCTCCTTTCCTCCTCTCTCTCTCTCTCTCTTATTCTGTCTCTCTTTATCTCTCACTCTGTCTCTCTCTTTTTCTTCTCTCTCTCTCTTTGTATACACATATTCCCTCTCTCTCTCCTTGTTTCTCCCTCTATTCTCTCTCTCTCTCTCTCTCTCTCTCTCTCTCTCTTTCCCCTTGAAGAACTTCATTCCTGATGTACAGTTTTATTCAAGATCTTCTACTTTCAAGTCCACCTCCTTGTATCCACACTCTTCGTCCACTCATCTACGCTGACGTGGTGGTGGTGTGTTAGTGTGTGTTGCACTGATGCGAGTGGATCAGTCACAGCAGTGCTGCTGGAGTTTTTAAACGCTGTGTCCACTCACTGTCCACTCTATTAGACACTCCTACCTTGTCAGTCCACCTTGCAGATGTCAAGTGAGAGACAATAGCTCATCTGCTGCTGCACAGTTTGTGTTGGTCATCCTCTAGTCCTTCATCAGTGGTCACAGGACGCTGCCCACAGGACGCTGTTGGCTGGATATTTTTGGTTGGTGGACTATTCTCAGTCCAGCAGCGACACTGAGGTGTTTAAAAAGTCCAGCAGCACTGCTGTGTCTGATCTACTCGTACCAGCACAACACACACTAAACACACCACCACCACCACGTCAGTGTTACTGCAGTGCTGAGAATGATCCACCACCCAAATAGTACCTGCTCTGTGGGGGTCCATGGGGGTCCTGACCACTGAAGAACAGGGTAACAGAGTATCAGAGAAACAGATGGACTACAGTCTGTAACTGTAGAACTACTTATTAATGGTTTTAATCGGTTTAATGTGTTTATGGCTTCATAGTAATTTTCAAGCTGGAAAACATTAATATTTATGTGTGTGTGTGTGTGTGTGTGTGTGTGTGTGTGTATGTGTGTGTGTGTGTGTGTGTTTAGGAAGAGCTGTTGTTGTCCATCTTGCCGAAGCACATAGCTGATGAGATGCTGCAGGGAATGAAGAAAGAAGCCAATCAGAAATCAGAAGCTCAGCAGTTCAACACCATGTACATGTACAGACATGAGAACGTCAGGTAACGCACACGCATGTGTGTATTAACGTGTGTTTGTTCAGCATCGCTGTCTGAACAAAACGTCTTTGGATCGTTTCTATTAAATATTCCCCCTACATTCTTTAAAAAAGGTCCTTCAACGTTTCTTTAGTAAATACACTGGTTTTTACAGACCTATGAACACTCAAAGGACCATGTAACCATCTTTACATGCTTAAATGGTCCTTTACATGGTGAAATGATTCTTCAGATTGATGGAGAATGTGTTGCATATTGTTTCTATATAGCACCTAAAAGGTTTCTGCTGTAATTACGATGTCAAGCTTGTAACAATTTTTGGTGCAATACAGAACCATTTCACCATGCAAAGATGATTAAATGGTCCTTGGAGTGTTCAAGGTTTTATATAGAACCTTTTCCAAACTGGTTTAACCCATCGGCAGCCTGGGTCGAACTGATAAACTAGGAAAACCAGTTGCAGTGAGTAAGATTTAGTGGCATCTAGTGGTGAGGTTGCAGGTTGCACCCAGCTGAAGCCCCCTCCTTCACCCCTCCCTTTCCAAGCGTGTAGTAGAACCTGTGGTGGCTGTCAGGTTTTCTGTCGTCGTCTGTCCGGATCATGTTTTCTCTTCTTTGACGGTGAGGATTCACCCTCCCTCACTTTTTCTCGTGCATAATAATAATTCTGATCCTCCGTTCGTCTTAATTTGGGTTCACAAACTTCTCACAACACAAAATGCTCAGTCAGCACCGGCAGCAGCCACTGATTCTTCTTCTTTCTCCGTCCTCCAACCGGAGCTGCAGCACTACCAAATTCAACCTGCTGCTTCAGTGTAAAAGCGTGAAAGGCGCCCTCTAGAGCCAGAGTTTGGTTTGTCCGTTCTGAGCTACTGTAGAAACATAGCGGCGGCCTCTACTGAAGAGGAGCCGTTCACTCTGTAGATATGAAGGGCTCATTCTAAGATAACGAAAACACAACGATTATTCCTCTGTGTTTGCAGTATCCTGTTTGCTGATATTGTCGGCTTCACTCAGCTTTCGTCGGCCTGCAGCGCTCAGGAACTCGTCAAACTGCTCAACGAACTCTTCGCCCGCTTCGACAAGCTGGCAGCAGTAAGACGCTCGCATAAACACAATCACACATACACACATTGAGCTAGACTCACCCATTCAGCCTCTGGCAGTTTAGCCCCACCCATTCAGCCTACAGCAGTTTAGCTCCACCATTCAGCTACAGCGGTTTAGCTCCACCATTCAGCTACAGCGGTTTAGCTCCACCATTCAGCTACAGCGGTTTAGCCCCACCCATTCAGCAACAGCAGTTTAGCCCCACCATTCAGCTACACCAGTTTAGCCCCACCATTCAGCTACAGCAGTTTAGCCCCACCATTCAGCTACACCAGTTTAGCCCCACCATTCAGCTACAGCGGTTTAGCTCCACCATTCAGCTACAGCGGTTTAGCTCCACCATTCAGCTACAGCGGTTTAGCTCCACCATTCAGCTACAGCGGTTTAGCTCCACCATTCAGCTACAGCGGTTTAGCTCCACCATTCAGCTACAGCGGTTTAGCCCCACCATTCAGCTACAGCGGTTTAGCTCCACCATTCAGCTACAGCGGTTTAGCCCCACCCATTCAGCAACAGCAGTTTAGCCCCACCATTCAGCTACAGCAGTTTAGCTCCACCATTCAGCTACAGCAGTTTAGCTCCACCCATTCAGCCTATAGCAGTTTAGTCATTCCCATTCCTATTGAAGCAATGTGGTTATGACAACTTTTTGGTACATAAAGTGACACAAATGTCCTAAATGGAGCTGAGAAGTGAGAGAGAACTGTACAGAACAGGCCTAACCTTCGTGTGTTTGTGCAGCAATATCACCAGCTGAGGATAAAGATTCTGGGGGATTGTTATTACTGCATCTGTGGGCTACCTGATTACCGGGAGGACCACGCGGCCTGCTCCATCATGATGGGCCTGGCCATGGTGAAGGCCATCTCGTGAGTTAACCTAAAATTATTCATGGCTCCTTTGTCAAATTTTGCATAGTTGCTTGATTTTTTATTCAATAACCTGCCAGGTTCCAGGTGTATTAGCAGGGAATTTTTCAATGAAAAAACAAAAATGTAAGTTGCTTGAAGCTGAAACTGGCCATTTTCTGTTCCACCTTAAATGGCACAGCTGTTACATTCAGAATGAAAAAAGCTGACTGTTTAAGGTGGCGCTGAAAATAAGCATTAGAAGCCAATTTCAGTTATTAACCTCCTCCAGGGGTCAGTATGTCAGGCTCAGACTGACCTGTGCTCACCTCTGCTCAGGTACGTCCGAGAGAAGACGAAGACGGGAGTGGACATGCGCGTGGGCGTGCACACGGGGACCGTTCTGGGCGGAGTTCTGGGACAGAAGCGCTGGCAGTTCGACGTCTGGTCCACCGACGTCACCGTGGCCAACAAGATGGAGTCCGGCGGCATCCCGGGGTCAGCGGCACTTTCACGATATTCAGACCTGCATGTCCAAATTTTTACTGCACTGTGAAAAAGAATTGTTTTAATTTAAATCAAGTAACGTGGCTGACTTCGTTTAACCCTTTCAAATCAACTGTCATATATATATATATATACATTGGACTCGTGTTGCACAATTCCAATGTACTTTCATGCATAAATTAGTAGAAATTGTTTTCAGATTTTTTAAAAATCATTTTTATTACTCAGATTCACATTAAAAATCCTATGAATTTTCATAAAAATCGTACATTTTACATGTAAAAAGTTTATTAAAAAGTTGTAAACTGTCCAAATATGGGGATGCCGTGCATTAGCAGAGTAAAACAAAGGAAGAACATACAATTAAAAAAAAAAAACAGAAAAATGATTTCTAAACATTTTTATATTTTTCATTATATCTCTCATTCAGTTTTAATTGTAATCTGTTGTAAAAACTAACATTCAATACAAATATTTAATAATAATAACTCTGAGCTTCTTTTTCCTGTTCAAAAAGCGCTGCTTTGTAACTTTTCAGCAAAAAATACAAAACATTTAAAAATTGTGAAACGTTCTTCAGATTGATGGAGAATGTGCCGTAGATGGTTTTATATAGAACCTTTTTGAAAAGGGTTCTAGATAGCACCAAAAAGCATTCTTACATTGCTACAAGATTGACATCGTAACAATAAGAAGAACGCTTTTTGGTGCTATTATAGAACCATATTGTTAATGTACAGCACATTCTCCATCCATCTGAAGGGCTCTTTAATCCTGCAAAGGGTTCTCTGAGTGTTTGTGGTTCTATATAGAACCATATTCTTTACAAAAGGACTTTAATCATGCAGAGGGTTTTCTGAGTGTGGTTCTATATAGAACCATATTCTTTACTAAAAGACTTTAATCATGCAAAGGGTTCTCTGAGTGTTTGTGGTTCTATATAAAACCACACTCTTTACTAAAGGACTTTAATCATGCAAAGGGTTCTCTAAGTGTTTGTGGTTCTATATAGAACCATATTCTTTACTAAAAGACTTTAATCATGCAAAGGGTTCTCTAAGTGTTTGTGGTTCTATATAAAACCATACTCTTTACTAAAGGACTTTAATCATGCAAAGGGTTCTCTGAGTGTGGTTCTATATAGAACCATATTCTTTACTAAAGGACTTTAATCATGCAAAGGGTTCTCTGAGTGTTTGTGGTTCTATATAGAACCATATTCTTTACTAAAGGACTTTAATCATGTAGAGGGTTTTCTGAGTGTGGTTCTATATAGAACCATATTCTTTACTAAAGGACTTTAATCATGTAGAGGGTTTTCTGAGTGTGGTTCTATATAGAACCATATTCTTTACTGAAGGACTTTAATCATGCAGAGGGTTTTCTGAGTGTGGTTCTATATAGAACCATATTCTTTACTGAAGGACTTTAATCATGCAAAGGGTTCTCTGAGTGTGGTTCTATATAAAACCATATTCTTTACTGAAGGACTTTAATCGTGCAAAGGGTTCTCTGAGTGTGGTTCTATATAAAACCATATTCTTTACTGAAGGACTTTAATCATGCAGAGGGTTCTCTGAGTGTTTGCGGTTCTACATAGAACCATATTCTTTACTGAAGGACTTTAATCATGCAGAGGGTTCCCTGAGTGTTTGTGTTCCACATATAACCATATTCTTTACTAAAGGACTACAATCATGCAAAGGGTTCGCTGAGTGTTTGTGGTTCTATATAGAACCATATTCTTTACTGAAGGACTTTAATCATGCAGAGGGTTCCCTGAGTGTTTGTGTTCCACATATAACCATATTCTTTACTAAAGGACTACAATCATGCAAAGGGTTCGCTGAGTGTTTGTGGTTCTATATAGAACCATATTCTTTACTGAAGGACTTTAATCATGCAGAGGGTTCCCTGAGTGTTTGTGTTCCACATATAACCATATTCTTTACTAAAGGACTACAATCATGCAAAGGGTTCGCTGAGTGTTTGTGGTTCTATATAGAACCATATTCTTTACCGAAGCACTCTTAAAGAACCATCTATTTCAGAGTGTACTCACGTCTGCTGGTAACTTTGGATGATGTTTTATTGCTAAAATTGGCTTCAGTCCTGAAATGTAAATATGATGTTAGATTTTTTGAAAAATGATTGAAAGTAAGAACAAAATTCTCATTTACTGTAAAATGTTTGAATTTATCACAGAAAGTGATAAAAAGTCAGACAGCGTTTATTTCACATTCAGACAAAATGGTTATTGAGGACGAGAGTCAGGAAAATAGCAGGAAAAAATATTTGAAAATTACCCAGAATTCCTCAGTGAGGTTCTTCTTGACAGCTACACATCCTTTCAGACCCACAGCGCTGAGTCGTCTTCTCACAGTGGAAGGATGGACAGAAACACCTGTGGATGTTTTCAGATCTGATCAGCTTGATTTTCTCCTCTCTCTCAGAGATGAAAGCTTTAAGTGCTGTTTATCTGATGGGGGCAGTTTTGGGGGCTACCAGGTCTCCCAGGTGGTTGTGAGGATCCGCGTTTTCTCTGTAGGTGAATGTATCTTGTGTGTGTGTTGTATTAACCCGTCCACTCTGCTCCGTGTGATGACCGTGTGCAGGCGGGTCCACATCTCCCAGAGTACGATGGAATGTCTGCACGGCGAGTTTCAGCTGGAGCCGGGAAACGGAGGAGAGCGCTGCGAGTACCTGATGGAGAAAGGCATCGACACCTACCTGGTGCTCGTTCCCACGGAAACCAGCATCGGGGATGGAGTCCCAAACGGAGTGGGCGGGGCCCCGAATGGAGCGGGCAGGGTCACGAATGAAACCGTGAGTACAATAAAACAGTCCATCTGTGGAAAGAATACAGACTCTTCTATAAAGCAGAATATAAAGCACCCTCTCTCTCTCTCTCTCTCTCTCTCTCTCACTCTCTCTCTCTTTGTCTCTCACTCTCACTCTCTCTCTCTCCCTCTCTCTTTATTTCTTTTTTTTCTCTTTCTTTATTTTTTCTGCTGTCTCTCTCTCTCTCTTTCTTTTCTTTTTTTCTGCTCTCTCTCTTTTCTCTTTCTTTTCTTTTTTCTCTGCTCTCTTTCATTCTCTCTTGCTTTCTTTCTTTTCTCTTTCTTATCTTTCTTTTTTCTCTGCTATTTTTGTCTTTCTTTTCTCTGCTTTCTTTTGTTTTCTCTCTTTCTTTCGTTCTTTTCTCCTTCTTTTGTTTCTTTTTTTCTACTCTCTCACTCCTCCTTCTCTCCATCTCTCTTCTCTTCCTTTCTCCTCTGTCTTTCTCTCCCTCTCTCTCCTCTTTTTCTCTCTCAATCCCTCTCTCTTCTCTCTTCCCCTCTCTCTCCCATTTCCTTCTCTCTCTCTCTCTCTCTCTCTCTCTCTCTCTCTCTCTCTCTCTCTCTCTCAGGTGGTCAGTAGGGGTTCTCCTCTCCTTGTTGCTACCACAGAGACTAACGGCAGTGTGTGTTCGGTCCGCAGCATCACCGCAGAGACAGAGGATGCCGAAGCCCAGGTCAGAGGTCACTCACCTCACTGCTGACCTACTTCTGAACTTCTATTTCTATTTCTGTCTTTTATTTTACATCATTTGAGCTGCTCTTCTTTACGCTGTGTGAACGTTTTATGATAAGCAGACCAACCGATACTTTTTCTGATGACGTCACAGCCGCGCTGCCGCCGGTTTGATCGGCAACATGAAGTTCACTCAGCAGTGCTTTGGCTGTCTGTGATGAGAGAAAGTCAAGAAATGACCCAGCAAAGGCAGAAAAACACATTATTTTGAACAGCACATCAGCAAAAAGTGACTGGCATATGAATGTCCATTACAGCTGACCAGCAAACCAGCATCAAAACACAACATATCACTGCTGTCGGAACAAAACCTCGTATCTCCATTTTTGTCGTTTTTCAGTTTTTGGCATAGTTTGAAAATACCTTTTAATCTTTACATTGTACGTAAATTTCATGAGGAATGGAGCAAAAGTAACGTCCCAAAATGACTTGGTACAAACCCTGGTTCCATTGACTTACATTAAAAGTGAAGTAGGTTTTTTCCTTCTCCTGTAAAGTTACCGGTTTGGAGATGAGAGGTTTTGTTCCGACAGCAGTGATATGCTGGTTCTGCTGGTGATGAGCCGCACTGGTCTGTGCTGGTTTTCCTAAACCTGAATTCGGCGAAAATGACCTGCGGCTGTGCTGACCGCGTTTCAGAGGCTGCGACTGGCCGGACTGGCTGATGGAGGGATGGAGAATGAGCAGGAGCTGAACAGACTGCTGACTAAAGCTCTGGTGGAGAGAGAGACGGAGGAAATGTGAGCACACACACACAGACACACACACACACACACACACACACACACACACACACAGACACACAAACACACACACACACACATACACACACACACACACACACAGACACACACACACACACGCACACACACATACACACACACACACACACACACACAGACACACACATACACACACACAGACACACACACACACACGCACACACATACACACACACACACACACACACAGACACACACACACACACACACACACACACACACACAGACACACACACACACGCACACACACATATACACACACAGACACACACACACAAACACACACACACACATACACACACACACACACACACACACACAGACACACACACACACACACATACACACACAAACACACACACAAACAGACACACACACACACAAACACACACACACACAAACACACACACACACATACACACGCATACACACACACAACACACACGCAAACACACACACACACAGACACACACACACACAACACACACACACACGCAAACACACACACACACATACACACACACACACACAAAAACATAAACACACACAAACACACACAGAGTTATTACTGCCTTCACTGTTTGTGCAAGTCATAATATAAAATTCTATTTAAAATTGTTTATTTTTATGATAAACAAAGGTCAAATTTGAGATGTTTTGTCTAAATAACTAATTTCACCCCCGCAGGCTGAAGGAGAAAAGAACGGCGGTTCTCTCTCTGCAGTTTCTGGATTCTGAGTTAGAGTCGCGTTACTCGCTGGAGAAAGAGAGGCAGACTGGAGTGGCGTTCAGCTGCAGCTGCGTGGTTCTGTTCTTTACGTCTGCCATGGAGACGCTCATAGACCCACAGTGAGTGACAACACCTACGCAACGCCTATGCAACATCTACACAACACCTACACAACATCTACACAACACCTACACAACATCTACACAACACCTACACAATGTCTACACAACACTTGCACAACACACACACAAAGCCTAACACATAAAGAATATCTACAGAACATCTATGCAACATCCACTCAACACCTATGCTACATCTGGGCAACATCTACACAACATCTCCAGAAAATCTACACAACCTCTATGCAATACCTACACAATCTCTACACAACATCTATGCAAAACCTACACAACAGCTACGCAACTTCTATGCAATATCTATACAACATCTACGCAACATCTATGCAGCATCTACGCAACATCTATGCCACACCTATGCAACATCTTTGTAACATCTACACAGCTTCTACGCAGCATCTATGCAACATCTACACAACCTCTACGCAACATGTAAACAACACCTAAATAACATCTACACAACATCTACGCAACAGCTATGCAACACCTATGCAACACTTACATATCTACGCAACACCTTCACAACATCTACGCAACACATACAGTACATCTACAGAACATCTAGGCAACACCTATGCAATACCTACTCAACACCTATGTAACATCAGTGCAACATCTGCATAACAGCTCCAGAATATCTATGGAACATCTACACAACCTCTATGCAATATCTACACATCTATGCAGCATTTGTGCAACATCTATGCCACACCTACGCAACCTCTACACAACATCTCCAAAACATCCACACAACCTGTATGCAACATCTACACAACACCTAGGCAACATCGATGCAACATCTACACAACATCTACGCAACCTCTACACAACATATATGAACCATCTACACAACATCTACACAATAGATCCCAGAGATAATCATAACCGGAAATGATGCTGTAAGCTTGTGACTACAGATATTCTGAAATCATTTGAATGTGCCTGCATTTGATTGGCTGATTTTCTTCTACTCATGTTTCTGATAGGCTGACAGTGAATTATGTAACGCTGGTGGTCGGCGAGGTGCTGCTCCTGATCCTCACCATCTGCTCACTGGCGGTCATCTTCCCACGGGTGCGGCAAAGCTACAGCAACAATGATGAGCTAAAGGAACTGTTCAGCACTAATTTACCGTTTTCCCCCTTGACCTCAAGACTTAGTGTCTGAAGTTTCCTTGTTTTGGCACAAATAAGCTTGTTAGCATGTGAATTAGCATGGTGCTAACTGCATAAATCATAGCCTCACAGCATGTGGAGGTGTTCAGTGTCTCTAATAGAGACACTGTGGTTTCAATTGTGTGGTTTCTGACTCCGTATGAAACACTGTTACCTATAAACATGGGCTAAAGAACATTAGCATAGCTAAACACAGCAGTAGCCTGACTGAAGCTTGAATTTTGTCCATTTTATGGGTTCAGTAGTGATAGTATTACATAAATAAGTAAACGAGATACCTAAATAATAAATACATCTTTGGTAATAATGATGATTTTTGTTGTTAGCTGTTCTCGAAGAAGCTGGTGTCGTTCTCTCTGTGGATCGATCGCACCCGCTGGGCTCGGAACACCTGGGCAATGGCAGCCATCTTTGTCCTGGCCATGGCTGAGGTGGCGGACATGGTGAGTCGTTTTCTTTTCTCTCGTTTTCTTTCTGATTTTTATTTCTCCTGGTCTGTGTTAGAGATGTCCTGATCCCAAAGATCCAGCTCCATCCCAATCCATGTGTTTAAATATTGAATATCGGCTGATAACAATAATTGAATTGTCATAGATGTTACAGTGGCAAAACCTTGTAACTTTACAGGAGAAGGAAAAAATTACTTTACTTTTAATGTAAGTCAATGGAACCAGACGTTTTTCCAAGTCATTTTGGGTCGTTTCTTTTGGTCCATTCATCATAAAATTTACACACAATGTAAAGGGCAGCAGGCATTTTCAAATTATGACAAAAACTGAAAAATGAAAAACGACAGCAGTGATATGCACTACCGCTATTTAGGTGTTTGTTACATTTCATTACAGACAGAGAAAACATACAGTTTAACAACTGAAAAGCTGATAACATCACTGTAAAACTCTAGTTCGGCTCATATTTGTGGGTAAATAAGTATTTTATGACACTTGTAAAGGGGAATTCCACCACCTTTTCAAATATCTGCATAATTCAGTGTCAGAGAGGTTCAGTGTGCAATATGACGATATTTTGGCAGCATGCCACAATATGCTTTTCTGAGAATATTGTGAAAATCATGTTAAAGAAAACTGATCAACTACATGTTTCATCTCAAAGACTATTTAGTCCAACTTAACAAACCTCAGGAAATCTAAATACTGTGGTAGATATTGTGATGGTGAAAATATCGTCAAGTATTGTGATGTTATATTGATGCCATATTGCCCACCCTTAGTTGAGATGTAAACAAAGTGAGTTTTGGTGTGAAATGGTTGCAAAGATGTCTTTACAGTGATGGTGATAGGAACCAGGGGTCACCATGACTACAACACAGATAGACATTTTATTTACTATCCAGAACCACCAGTGAACCTACACGAGTCTTCTGAGTTTATATGGAATGTTGATGATGGAAAATAGTGGAAAACCTGAAATAATAAGTTTTCTTTGGGGACTATTTTGCCTCACAGTGCCCTGCATGTATCCCTCCACCATGAATGGAGTTTAAGTTCTCCAAACTATCATAAAACAGTGTCTCAGTCATCAGGCAGTGCATTCATAACCATTTCATGTAGGAACTTTCTGTGAGGGAGCTTTTAGAGGTGGACGTCTGGTTCCTATCACCACCACTGTGAACAGTTCTGACTCGGTAAGTTTATCTAGAACAGAGCGTTTCACACCAAACCACTCTGAACCACTGTGTTTACATCTTAACCAGTCAATTATGCAGAAAATTTATAAAACTGGTGAAATTCTCCTTTAAGCAATTATCAGCTGATACTGATTGTAATATCATTGCGCATCACATTTGAGAATGCTGCTATATCATCGCTTTCACACTGATACATATTTACACAATTACTATGCATAGTGTCATCAAAACATGAGGCAGATAAGTTCACAAAAAATGAATGCAAATTTAAGTTAAAAAACACTTGAAATACTGAATAAAACATCAAAAAATGCTTTCTGGTGCCTAGTTTATAATAATTGGGTTAATATTATTATTATTTTCTATTATTATTTTTAATACTATACAATTACTCAGAAGTTGTTGGTCTATTGTAATATAATGTGTCTGTGTGCTGTGTGTAGCTGAGTTGTGTGCAGCCCCCCCTGCTGGTGCTGAACTCCACTGCAGGTTTGACTCTGGAGTCTCTGGGTGACGGCGGCTGCGCCGAAAACCCCAAACACTACAGTTACATCGCCGTGCTCTCTCTGGTGGCCACCACCATGCTGGTGCAGGTCAGCCACCTGGTCAAACTCGCCCTCATGCTGCTGGTTACCGTGGCCACCACCGCCGTGGACCTCTACAGCTGGAGGGACATTTATGACATTTATGACCTCATACGCTACCTGGAGTACCGGTGAGCTGTGCTATGTCCAAAACTTTATCTCACTCAATATACGACACGACTGCAACGAACAATTATCGTCAGAAAATTATAGAGCATTTAGAAATGAAACAGTAGAAGCCATATCGCCCCCTACACTTCCTGTAGTGTATTACAGTCTGTCAGAGTGACTGTGTGAATCATATGAACATTATAGAGGCTTTTTTAAATGAAACAGTAGAAGCCATATCGCCCCCTAAACTTCCTGTAGTGTATTACAGTCTGTCAGAGTGACTGTGTGGATCATATGAACATTATAGAGCTTTTTAAATGAAACAGTAGAAGCCATATCGCCCCCTAAACTTCCTGTAGTGTATTACAGTCTGTCAGAGTGACTGTGTTGATCATATGAACATTATAGAGGCTTTTTAAATGAAACAGTAGAAGCCATATCGCCCCCTACGCTTCCTGTAGTGTATTACAGTCTGTCAAAGTGACTGTGTGGATCATATGAACATTATAGAGGCTTTTTAAATGAAACAGTAGAAGCCATATCGCCCCCTACGCTTCCTGTAGTGTATTACAGTCTGTCAAAGTGACTGTGTTGATCATGTGAACATTATAGAGGCTTTTTAAATGAAACAGTAGAAGCCATATCGCCCCCTACACTTCCTGTGGTGTATTACAAATGATGTATGAATATTGATACTGATCAATACTGGTGTGTGTTTATCTGCAGGCATTCTGTGGTTCCCACTAAATATCTGATGACGGTGATGATCATCGTGATGATGATGAGTTTCTACCACTTCGCTCGGCACGTACGTCACACTGAGCACTCTCAGCTCCTCCTGCAGTTCACATTCTCTAACTGAGCGGTTTAACATTAACGGTTCATCATATTGTATTATTTAAAAGACTCGATTGTTGTTGCCTCCAAAACTTATACTGATTTATGATGATGTCATCACTGCAAAATCATATTAACCGATAATATCAAGTAGAGAGAACAGCTTAGAGACCCTCTCTCTTTTTACTCTCTCTCTTTCTCTCACTTTCTATCTCTCTCTCTATCTTCATTCTCTCTCTCTCTCTCTCTCTCTCTTTATGCTCTCTCTCTCAGGTGGAGAGACAGTCCCGTAAGCTGTTTCTGTGGAAGATTGAAGTTCATGATCAGAAGGAGCGAGTGTTCGAGATGAGGACGAATAACGAGGCTCTGGTCACCAACATCCTGCCTGAGCACGTCGCCAAACACTTTCTCGGCTCCAAGAAAAGGGACGAGGTGAGAGAGAGAGAGAGATAGAGACAGAGAGAGAGAGAGAGAGAGAGAGAGAGAGAATAAAGAGAGAGAGTGAAAGAGAAATGTAACATAGGCAATATTGCCAAAAATGTTGCAATGTTAATGCTTTATAGCATTGGTGCAAAACAAGATGCGCACTGCTACCGCTAACTAACTCTGCGCGCTGCTACCGCCGGCTAACTCTGCGCGCTGCTACCGCCGACTAACTCTGCGCGCTGCTACCGCCGACTAACTCTGCGCTGCTACCGCCGACTAACTCTCTGCGCTGCTACCGCCGACTAACTCTGCGCTGCTACCGCCGACTAACTCTGTGCGCTGCTACCGCCGACTAACTCTGCGCTGCTACCACTGACTAACTCTGTGCTGCTAACGCCGGCTAACTCTGCGCGCTGCTACCGCCGACTGACTCTGTGCGCTGCTACCACCGACTAACTCTGCGCTGCTACCGCCGACTAACTCTGCGTTGCTAGCGCCGACTAACTCTGCGCTGCTACCGCTGACTAACTCTGCGCGCTGCTACTGCTGACTAACTCTGTGCTGCTACCGCTGACTAACTCTGTGCGCTGCTACCGCTAACTAACTCTGCGCTGCTACTGCTGACTAACTCTGTGCGCTGCTACCGCTGACTAACTCTGCGCTGCTACCGCTAACTAACTCTGCGCTGCTACTGCTGACTAACTCTGCGCGCTGCTACCGCTAACTAACTCTGCGCGCTGCTACCGCTAACTAACTCTGCGCTGCTACCGCTAACTAACTCTGTGCGCTGCTACCGCTGACTAACTCTGCGCTGCTACTGCTGACTAACTCTGCGCTGCTACCGCTAACTAACTCTGTGCGCTGCTACCGCTAACTAACTCTGCGCTGCTACCGCTGACTAACTCTGCGCTGCTACCGCTGACTAACTCTGTGCGCTGCTACCGCTGACTAACTCTGCGCTGCTACCGCTAACTAACTCTGCGCTGCTACCGCTAACTAACTCTGCGCACTGCTAACGCTAACCTGTTACCTGAAGTTAACTCTGGCTGACTTTAGCTGAGTGAGTTTCTCTAAAACAGAGCATTTCACACCAAACCACTCTGACTGTGTTTACATCTTCACAACTTAATGATGCAGAAATGCTGAAGAATTTTTGTTTATTTGTCTGTATGTGTGTGTGTGTGTCTGTACATGTGTGTGTGTGTCTGTACGTGTGTGTGTGTGTGTGTCTGTACGTGTGTGTGTGTGTGTGTGTCTGTACATGTGTGTGTGTGTCTGTACGTGTGTGTGTGTGTGTGTGTCTGTCTGTGTCTGTGTGTGTGTCTTTGTCTGTGTGTGTGTGTGTGTGTCTGTTTGTGTGCGTGTGTGTGTGTGTGTGTGTGTGTGTGTCTGTTTGTGTGCGTGTGTGTGTGTGTGTCTGTGTGTGTGTATGTCCGTGTGTCTGTTTGTGTGTGTGTGTGTGTGTGTGTGCGTGTGTCTGTTCGTGTCTGTGTGTGTATTTGTGTGCATGTGTGTGTGTGTCTGTTTGTGTCTGTGCGTGTGTCTGTGTGTGTGTGTGTGTCTGTTCGTGTGTGTGTGTGTGTGTCTGTTTGTGTCTGTGCGTGTGTGTGTGTCTGTTCGTGTGTGTGTGTGTGTGTGTGTGTGTCTGTTTGTGTGTGTGTGTGTCTGTACGTGTGTGTGTGCGTGTGTCTGTGTGTGTGTCTGTGTGTGTGTGTGTGTCTGTTCGTGTGTGTGTGTGTGTGTCTGTACGTGTGTGTGTGTGTGTGTGTGTGTGTGTGTGTGTGTGTCTGTACGTGTGTGTGTGTGTGTGTGTGTGTCTGTTCGTGTGTGTGTGTGTGTGTGTGTGTGTGTGTGTGTCTGTACGTGTGTGTGTGTGTGTGTGTGTGTGTGTGTGTGTGTGTGTGTGTGTTAGGAGCTGTACAGTCAGTCCTATGATGAAATCGGCGTGATGTTCGCTTCGATCCCAAACTTCTCTGATTTCTACACCGAGGAGAGCATCAACAACGGCGGCCTGGAGTGTCTGAGGATCCTCAACGAGATCATCTCCGACTTCGACACTGTCAGTACACCTCTCTCTACCCCTCTCTGTCTACCCCTCTCTCTCTTCCCCCCCTTTTTCTTTGTTTCAATACTTTATTTGTCTGTTACTGATTCATGCATGTTTCTAAAAGTATGTTCCTCTCTTTGACCTTTGACCCCGGGCAGCTGCTGGATCGGATGGAGTTTCGCTGCATCACCAAAATAAAAACGATTGGCAGTACCTACATGGCAGCATCGGGGCTCACACCGGAGAGCAACACCAACGGATACAGCAGAGTGAGAGAGAGAGAGAGTTATTCATTCAACCTAATGAGAAACTGTAGAACAGACTCAGTTTATATCACAATACCTACATTTAGAGTCGGTTATTCATTCAGCCTAATGAGAAACTGTAGAACTGACTCAGTTTATATCACAATACCTACATTTAGAGTCGGTTATTCATTCAGCCTAATGAGAAACTGCAGAACAGACTCAGTTTATATCACAATACCTACATTTAGAGTCGGTTATTCATTCAGCCTAATGAGAAACTGTAGAACAGACTCAGTTTATATCACAATACCTACATTTAGAGTCGGTTATTCATTCAGCCTAATGAGAAACTGTAGAACAGACTCAGTTTATATCACAATACCTACATTTAGAGTCGGTTATTCATTCAGCCTAATGAGAAACTGCAGAACAGACTCAGTTTATATCACAATACCTACATTTAGAGTCGGTTATTCATTCAGCCTAATGAGAAACTGTAGAACAGACTCAGTTTATATCACAATACCTACATTTAGAGTCGGTTATTCATTCAGCCTAATGAGAAACTGCAGAACAGACTCAGTTTATATCACAATACCTACATTTAGAGTCGGTTATTCATTCAGCCTAATGAGAAACTGTAGAACACACTCAGTGTTTATGACAGTACCTGTACTGTAGGGATGATGCTGTGTTGTGTTTGTGTGTAACAGAAGGAGGATCAGTGTCTTATGGAACGATGGCAGCATCTGGCTGATCTGGCTGATTTTGCTCTGGCCATGAAGGTCACCCTCAATAACCTCAACAAGCAGTCCTTCAACAACTTCATGCTCCGCATTGGTAAAAAAAAAACATCATCTTACAAACCTCAGTTCCAAAGGTTTGAGGTAGTGGTGTTGGGACAGTGTGTGAAATGCTAATAAGAACAAAAAGCAGTGATTAGTAAATTCTGTTTGACCTAAATTTATTTGATGCTTGTGCAAAAACATGATATTTGGTCTTGTAATTTGTGAACTTTATTGTTTTTTGTGTAAAAATACATTGATTCCAAATTCGTTGCATACAACACATTCCAAAAACACATATGTTTACTACTGCGTTACATCATCTGTCCTTTTAATGACACTTAATAAACATTTGCTGACTGAAAACACAAACCGATTTAGTTGAAAGCAAATTTTTTACTGTTCTTCTGTTACATAAGTCAACGTTTACTGTAAGTTAAAGTAAAGAGGTTTTGTTCCAAGTGATTCTGGAGCATTTCTATTGGTCCATTGTATAAAATACAATACACATTTCCACTGAACATCAGTCTATTTCAGATGAGCTTGAGCCCAAAGAAGTCGGCAGCGTTTCTGGATGTTGTTGATATGCCTTCCACTGTGCAGAGTACAGTCTACAGAGACATGCAGTTGTGGTTTGTCTTTTACACACAGATTTCTCCAGATTCCTCCTTGTCTTCTAAACATTTCACATTTTTCTAGTCGTTAATTTTCCCCATGAATTTGTGTTTTGGAATGTGTTACAGGCATCGGTTTCAGAATGCCAGTATGTTTACAAAAAGTCAATGAAGTTGATAAGATAAAACACTACATATCTTGTCTTTGTACTGCTTCCGTTTAAATACAGGTCAATGTGGATTTACAAATCAATTTTTATTTTTTGTTTTGCCTTTTGTCCCAACTTTTCTGGAACTGAGTTTTAAAGCAAAAAGTAAATTGTAAATGAGTAAGTTAACAGGAGTATGTTTACGCTTCTGCTGCATTTCTGTTGGTCCATTCATCTTAAAATGAAAAAGGAACAGCTTCATGTTTTTTGTTGGATAGTGATTGATCACATACATACATATATATATATATATATATATATATATATATATATATGTGTGTGTGTGTGTACGTATGTATATATATATATATATATCCTTCCTTCCTATCTGCTTTATCTGAACAACACATCATTAAATGAAACTAAGTGCTGCTTAAATGTAATAAATCCATGTGATGGCTGAGAAGCAGCATGAAGTACAAACTTGTGTTCTTCTGAACAGCTGATAAGATATGAACTGCTTTTTGAATACAGTGCTGCTGTGTGTGTGTGTGTGTGTGTGTGTGTGTGTGTGTGTTGTCAGGGTTGAATATGGGTGGAGTGTTAGCTGGTGTGATTGGAGCTCGTAAGCCTCACTATGATATCTGGGGGAACACAGTTAATGTGGCCAGCCGCATGGAGTCCACTGGAGTTATGGGTAATATACAGGTAACACACAAACACACACACACACACACACAAAATCTAAACTTAATTACTAAACTTACACTACACTAATTCTAAACTAACTCTAGTACTAATCTAACTCTAATACTAAACTAATTCTAAACTAACTGAAGTATTAAACTAACACTAAAATAAATCTATTACCTAACTAACTCTATAATAGTTCAAGCTCTAAACTAAACTAGTAGGTACTAAACTAACTGTGCACTACTGTCAACTTTGATCCATTCCAGTAAATAAAGCTCAGTCCTGTTCAGTGAAAACACAGTTAATCAGTGTGGAAGAATCAGCTTCTCTACTGTGGAGACTGTAATTTAACCTTGACTGTGGCGCCCTCTGCTGGTCAGCCTGTATACAGAACCCCAGGCCATTTTCTCAGGCTCTTGCTTTGGGAGTAAACACTGATTTAAAAGTATTTTGTGGGTTTTCTGTTACAGTCGGTTGAGGATGTGTTGTGGAAACTTCCTTTGCTTTTAACTGTGAGCGTGTGGCGCCCTCAGGTGGTGGAGGACTGCTATAAGATCCTGAGGGAGTACGGGTTCCGCTTCGTGAGGAGAGGCCCCATCTTCGTGAAAGGGAAGGGAGAACTGCTCACTTACTTCATGAAGGGAAAAGACAAATCCGTTCCTAACGGCCACACGGTCCTCCCCAGCCTCCCCAACCAGATACTGGACAAGTCCTGATGATGTCGACGCTGTACATAAACGGAGGAGACTGGAACGCACACGAGAACGTTTACACACAGAGAACTGCTGTAGAAGAGTAGAACTTTCTGGAAATGTTTAGAGACTCTGTCTAATGTTCACAACAGCTTTGCACTGGCACCTAAACCTTTACCTATACCTGTGCAGAGGTGGGTAGTAACTCGTTACATTTACTCAGGTACATGGTCATGGATTTGTACTCAGCTGAGTATTTTCAAATTGTCACACTTTCACATCTACTGAAGTACATTAGTGATTAAAGGAGTCTACATTTTTCTCAGACACATTTTAGCTGTGCATATTTAGCTATCCGCTCCTTTTTTGTGTTTAATTTCATTCTGTTTTACTGTTGAAACTCCTGTACTGCTTTGTGATGGGTGGCATGTCGGATTCTAGAGCTTTAGCATTTTATTTAAGACCAAAATAATCCAAAAAATAGAAAAATGAAGTAGCTTTCTGTCCTGATACTTCAGTACTTTTACTCAAGTTGTTTTATTTGTACTTTTACTTGTGTCATTATTTTACCAGAGGATTAATATTTTTACTTGAGTATTGACTAAGGCTCCTCTACCCACCTCTGCGTCTGTATGAACCTTCATCACAGGGATGTTCAATGACAAATCCACTCTTCAAATCATGTACAAACATATTTCTGCGTGTATGCAAAGACACTTGCCTGCTTCATAACTACAGTTTGATATGTTGTTTGCCGTGTTATGCAGTATTGTGTAGCGCAGAATTCACGATTTTAAATCATTTTCATGTTTTTGTTTATCTCTAAGAACAATATCCAGCATACATTACGCTAATACATCATACAGCCATTGGGAATCCCTGTGGTGTCGCCCAGTCCTGACTGCTAGCTTAGCTACTGAGATATAGGCTAAAAATACAACCAAGCTAGCGTTAGCGTAACTCTTATCTTGGTTGTTCAATAAAATCATAAAGAAAACTGTGATTGTAAGTTTATTCAGCACTAAATGAACCTCAGAGACGAGTTTTTACCCTTTCAGTCAGAGAAAAAGAGCCAAACTGAGGTAAGATATCTAGATAGCCAGGCTAACTTTAGCTTTTAGCTTGTCTGCTTCGACTGACGAGTCTTTTCTGTGGTTTGAGTGATTCATTTTCTCCACTGTAACGATGATCAGAAGACGTCCTCAGTAGCAGTGGTAGTTTTTCAATGTTTCCTCCCCTCTACATCAGAAGGGCCTTTGCCCAGTCTTCATATTGGAGAATCTCCGTCTAGAACAGGGGTCTCAAACTCAAATTGGTGGTCTTCTCCAAGGAGGGCCAGTTGGAAAAATGCAGGAAAAAATGTCATATATTTTATGTGCATAACATTCACACTTATTTAAACACACCTTAGTGTTTATAAGCAATAGTCTGTCACCATAAACCACTACGGCTACTAATAATAAAAATAAAATTGATAATTAAGGTCATTATTGGTAGAATAAATGCAATAAATCAAGTCCACTTACCTTTAACAGCAGGATTACGTGGTAATACCATTCATTTCTCAGTTTTGATGCGCTGTATCCCTCTTTGTGTCCTGAATGAATCCATGAAGGCAGATTTAACTACCTATCAATCCAGTTTAGAATAATAGCTAAGTTAGGCATTATTGTAATAACTGATTTATAGTGATTGAGCTATTATAGCTCAATTACAGTCATGCACGCTGAGTGTGCAGCGTTCCTGCTTTTCAGTCTGGGCTAATTTTACAGAGTTTACCATACCGACTAAGCTGCAACATCCTAGCAAACACCTTGGATACAGTAGCAACCATCTAGCAACACCCAAGCAACCATCTAGGATACCAAAGAAACTGCTTGGCAACACCTGAGTGACAACCTTTAACAACCACAGTGACCTCTGATGAAGGACTAGAGGATGACCAACACATACTGTGCAGCAGCAGATGAGCTATCATCTCTGACTTTACATCTACAAGGTGGACTGACAAGGTAGGAGTGTCTAATAGAGTGGACAGTGAGTGGACACAGTGTTTAAAAACTCCAGCAGCACTGCTTTGTCTGATCCACTCAGACCAGCGCAACACACACTAACACACCACCACCACGTCAGTGTTACTGCAGTGCTGAGAATGATCCACCACCCAAATAGTACCTGCTCTGTGGTGGTCCATGGGGGTCCTGACCACTGAAGAACAGGGTAACAAAGTATGCAGAGAAACAGATGGACTACAGTCTGTAACTGTAGAACTACAGAGTGAGACTATACGGTCAGTGGAGCTGATAGAATGGTGGTTTTAGTGTAATGGCTGACTGGTTTATATACTCTCAGTGTTATGTATATGAATATAACCGTTAATTGTAGTGAATACGTGATGATTCTCACTGACGTGTCATCTGATAGATTAGTTTATCTCATTGACTCGGCTGTTGGGACTTATAGCAAAATAAACGCCAACACTGCTTATAAATAAAAACATTGTAAAAATGAAGAAAAAGAGAAGGAAAGGAAATGAAAGCTGTTCCTTTGAGCTAAAGGTTTATGGCTCAGTGTCTCCTGGACGCCGTGCGCTTTCACTACTGTGTTTAATGCATGTTCTTAGTTGAAGCCTGTTGAGTTAGTCTTTAATCTGAAATACCTCTGATTTAAAAACTAGCAAAAGAAATACTTTTTGAGCAAAGCCAGCCAAACTGTTTGTTTATGGTAAAGGTTTTGGGGCATTACTGACTCACCTAATACCAAAACTGCTTTTAAAAGTGTTGTTTTTTCGTGTTGTATAAGCTTCAGTTTAGAGTTGATTTTTTAAAGAAACACTGTTTATTTATATCTTTAATCTTAAAAATTTGGTTTGGTTAAATGACTGAGGTGAACAGTGCTTCACCTTTTTAATTTTTTTAAACATATTTATGGTTAGAAAACAGTAAATTATGTGTTTTAAAGTGCGCCCCCTGCTGGTACAGTGATAAAGTGTTTTTGGGTTATCGACTGGACTTTTACATCAACACCAAACACTAAAATTAATTTCAAACTGTGTTTTAAAATATATTTTTGGTTGAAAAAAGCAAAAAGCATTGTTTTAAACTACTACTGTGAGCTAAGATTTTTAACGTGCACCCCCTTCTGGTCGCTGTGTCCGGTGAAAAGGTAGTTTTCAGGGCAATCAACCAGAATTTACATCAAAACACCAAACAGAACAAATTCCTTACATTTTCAAATGTTCTTTTTAATAAAAAAAAGTTTTATTCTGAACAACCTCTGAAAAATCATTTTATCATACGCCCCCATATTTCCATAAGTCCCGTGGAAAAACAAGATTTTGGGTTGGAATTTTACATCAAACACAAAACCCAAAGTTGCTTTTAAAACTGTTTTTTGTGTATTTTAGTTTGAAAAAAGTAAAATAAGTTTTATGGAAACGTAGAAACAGAGGTTATTTTGAACGACTGAGCTAAGCTGTAATGTGCGTTTTTGGGGCTTCATCTGGACTTTTACATCAAGACCAAACACCATAATTGCTGATTTTTAGATTTTTAAACTGATTTTAGTGTATTTTGTTTGGAAAAAAGCAAAGTTTTCTGGGATTGTTCTGTTTTCTTGTTTAAGAACAACATAAGTTTTGTTTTGAACTCCTCAAGAAAAATACCAAAAACAACAACAATAATAACAACAACAGTAATAATAATAATAATAATAATAATAATAATATTTTTGGTCAGTCAGGGTGTCCAGTGGTACAGTAAGTTTGTGGGAGTCTGTCTGGACTTTTACATCAAGACAAACACCAAAATTACTAATAAAACTGTTTTATATTGTTGTTTAAAAACAAACAAGAAGATGTTTTGTTTTGAACTCCTCCTTTGAGAGGCTCGTGCGCCCCCTGCTGGTCACTGTGTCAGAGATAAAGCAAACCGTTTTTTTTGGTTATCGACTGGACTTTTACATCAAAACCAAACACCAAAATAACTTAAAAGCAGTTTTGGGGTTTTTGGTTCTGAACGAGCTGTTTTGTTTTGAAAGGATATTAATTTTAATCGCGCCCCCTGCTGGTCGTAGGTGCCCGGACGCCGCGGAGGCATTTCCGGTGACGTCAGGCGCTGTGTGTTTGCATTAGGCTGCTGTGTGTTGAGCAGGAGCGGAGCGGAAGGCCGGAGCCCCCCAGCAGCCCCCCAGCAGCCGCCCTCCGAGCTCCCCCCAAACCCTCCCGGCGCCTCTCTCGCTCCTTTCGCCCTCACCACGGCCGCTCTCGGCGAGGAAACTCTGGCCTCCTCCGCTTCCTCCTCCTCCGACTCGGACACCGGCGGAGCGTCGCCGCCCCCGCGGAAAAAGCACCGAGCTTCGGCGGCGGAGGGAGCAGGAGAGCCCGGGGCTTCGGCGGGCCTTCCCGCGGCGCTGGTTCTGGCGCTAGCTGCTTCTCCCTCGGACACCAGGACAGCTGCCTTCCTCACCCGGAGCTCCCAAGCCAGCCTCGGCTCCAGCATGCAGTCCAACGGGGCGGGTCAGAGCCAGAGCCAGAGCCAGAACCAGGACCAGAGCCAGGGCCAGGATCCGGCGGCTCTCTCTTGCCTGAGCGCCGCGCAGAACGGAGAGTCTTCCTCGGCCGCCGGAGCTCACTCCAACGGGCTTCTCTCCGGCGCCAGCAACGGGGCCGGAGCCGGGTCTGGAGCTCCGACCACGGTCCTCGGTTCGGAGCTCGGCTCGCTGAAAAAGAAGAAGCGGCTCTCTCAGGCGGAGGAGGACGTGATCCGCCTGATTGGGCAGCATCTGCACGGCTTAGGGCTGAAGTAAGTGTGGGGATGAAAAATTAGATCCCGGTTCTGCTTTTACGAGCTTTTTAGTGCCTCTAAAAGCAGAAAAACAATGGGGGATGGGGCGCTAACAGTTAGGAAGCTAAGAACAAGGGGGCCGAAGCTGAAGTTGGCTTGTGATTCGAATTTTCCCGTTCCACCTTAAATGGTGCAGCAGTTACGAACAGAATGTTACATCCAGAATGTAACTGCTGCACCGTTTAAGGTGGAACGGGGAAATCCGAATCACAAGCCAACTTCAGCCCGGTTTTTAGCACGATAACAGGCTCTGTTTTGAAATGTGGAATGTCAGCGAGCTAAACGAGCCTCGCTTCGGACACGGATCACATCTGAAAACCCGATTCTGGAGAAATGTTCTGGACGTTTGCGCTTTTGTTATTGTTTTTATTGCACGGTGCGAAAAAGCATTACATCACCCCCTAATTCCTGCCTCATTAGAGCTCAAATCGACGTGTCATGGACAGAGATGGGGCTCTTTTTTACCCTACAGGCGAGCACAAAGAGAAAGATGGCTCGCCAGGTTTGTTTTTTGTCTGCTTTTTGTGGAGGATTGCGCAAAAGGCGCAGCGTTGACAGCAGCAGTGGGGCCTACAGCCGCTCAGGGGCTGCACGGTATCGACACAGTGATCACATCGCGGTTACACATCTGCTTAATTCGATATATACTGCTGCACTAGTGGCATGGGTGCAGATTGGCCTGCATTGTTTTGAGCACCATTGATGACTGGTTTGTCAGTATTTTGTCAACGTAGAGCTGGGCGATGTGATGATATGTGGTCGTTATTGTGATAAATGATGTTAAAATACACTTTGTTGAGCTTGTCTCGGGTATCGTCAGTGCTTAAAGAGCACTAAGTACCCGTCTGATTACAAAACGAGCATAATTAGGCCTGTTTAGTTGGATTTAGTGCAGAGCGGTTTGTAAAACATTGATTAAGAGTCAGTGTAGTTGTAGCTTTATTAACATTATTATTATTGTATGTAATAATAGTATTTTTATATGAGGCACTACAGGTTCTATTTTGTCTCTTCCAACTTATTAAATCTCAAAACAACACGAAATATCGTGATGCGTATCGTGTACGTCTTGAAGTATCGTGATATATTTTTCCCATATCGTCCACCTCTCAATGTCAGCGCAAGTGATGGCCCTGAAATCAAGAACAAGAAATTTAAAAACTCTGAACTGAAAAGAAAAATGTTTTCTGGAGAACCGTTCCACCAACTGCTTTGTTACACAACATGTTCTCTGGTTGTCAACTCAACCATTGGCTCTTACATCAGGTGACAACACCAGCGTTGTTTTGAAAAGAGCCAATTTTGAGTGATTTAAGAATAGTTAAATATGTTGAGGTATGTTAAAGCAGCGTTGGTGGGCATGGGGAGCACAACATGTTCCCGTGTTGTCAACCCGAGCGTTGGCTCTTACATCACTGACGCTGCTTTAAAAAGAGCTATTTTTGATTGATAAAAGAATATGTTATATGTTGATATATAAAGCAGCTTTGGTGGACGTCACAAGTGAACACCAAGATAACTGACAAAACTGAAAACCTGGAGAATTTTTCTTTTCAGGGATCACATTGTTTACATAGAGCTGCGCAACATGTTTTCAGGTTTCAGGTCTCAGACAATGGCTCTTACATCACTGGCACTGCTTTAAAAAGAGATACTTTTGAATAATGAAAAGTGGTCTAATGTATGTTGATATATAAAGGAAGCTTTGGTGGACGCCACCACCAGGAGAACCCTAAGATAACTCACAAACACTGAAAACTTGGAGAAATGTGTGCTACACAGCATGTTCTAGGTTGTCAACTCCGCCGCTGACGTTACATCTCCGACATTGTTTTAAAAAGACCTGCTTTTGAATATCGATCGATCGATAGATAGATAGATACTTTATTGATCCTGAAGGAAATTTAGCAAAATCTAATCGAATTTATCGCTGCTGTTGGAACAAAACCTCGTATCTCTGTATTTGTCGTTTTTCAGTTTTTGACAGAATCTGAAAATGCCTGTTGTTCTTTACATTGTGTGTAAATTTCATGATGAATGGACCAAAATGACTTTGGGGGGGTGGGGTGTCTGGTTCCATTGACCTACATTAAAAGTAGAGTAGGTTTTTTCCTTCTTTGGTAAAGTTACCATTTTGGAGATTCCAACAACGGCGGTATGTTGATGTGTATCGCAGTATATAAAAGCATCATTGGTGGACGTGAATGGAGCACGGCTTGCATCATTTTGACCAAATTGACCGTTAGCTCTTATGCATTATATCAAAACAGCATTAGTGGGCGTGGGTAACAGTGGGGCTGTGCTGTTTTGACCAACGCCGTTGACGTTGTCAGCTTGACTGTTAGCTGTTGCGCCACAAACGAACACCAAAATAGTTCACAAAGCCTGAAAACTCAAAGAGAAATGTTTTTTTGAGGCAATAACAATGGGGCTGCAGCATGAATCTCATTGTTTACACTGTCAGAATGAAGGAACTGCACAGGTGCATTTTTTTGTTATTCAAGGTACGAGCAACGTAAACGTTCCCTCAAAGGGACCACAGTGGTTTTAAGGTCCAATTGTTCACCTTTAATACGTTTTTTCTAGAAGGAGAAATCGCAAAGGAATATGGTACAATTATGATCCGTAACTAAAGATACTGAAGACGTTCCCTTGAGGGAGCCTCGCCAGCTCGGTACCTTTTTTCTGACCGTGTGCCAAGAGCTACACAACATGTTCTCAGGTTGTCAATGGAACCATTGGCTCTTATATAAGGAGACAACACTGACGATGTTGTAAAAAAGAGCTACTTGGTTATTTTTTGACTAATTTAAGCGTAATCTAGTATGTTTTGATGTATAAATTGCATTTTATGAAAGCAACGTTGGTGGACATGGATAACAAGCGGCCTTCATTGTTTTGACCAACGTTGTTGACTGTTGTTGACATTTTTTCACATTTCTACCTCGACTACTAGCTGTTGAGCCAGTAACGAGCACCAAAATAACCGACAAAACCCGAAAACTCGAGGAAAATGTATTTTTGAGACTATCCGATTCGTTGCTTTGTTTACAAAGAGCTACACAACATGCTCTCGGTTTGTTAAGTCAACCGTTGGCTTCCTGACATGCATTAAAAGCAGCTGTGTTTGAGTAACCTAAGAATAGTCTAATCTGTGTGGGGGTATATTGCTGTATATTGAATCAGCATTGGTGGGCTTGGCTGTAGCACAGCTTGCGTTGTTTTGGCCAACACTGCTGACATTTTTTCCGTTGTCAATCCCACTGTTGGCTCTTACACCACAAGCAAACACTGACATTGATTACAAAACCTTTGTTTTGAGAGAAAAACAATTACACGGTTCCATTGTTGTTTACTAAGAGCTGCACATGTTCTCAGGTTGTCAACCCAGCTGTTGGCTCTTACAAGTTATATTTGAGTAATCTGTGAGTAATCTAACATCTGTTGATATCTTGCCTCACATCAAAACATCATCAGTGGACACTGGACTGTCCTGTCAGTTGGATTGTTTAGCATTTAACTAATCTAAGAGACACTAATATTGCATTATTGCAACGCAACATTAGTAGACATGGACCCCTGTACACCAGTTCAGGATTATATCTGGATGAGGCCACATAAAAATGCAAGTGTAAACGCAGCCAAGACGCATTTAAAACAGATACAAATCGCTTCAGGAGGTGGACTGAGACGCATTTGAGCCTCATGTTGTAGCAGCGTGAACACGTCCGTCTCTCCAAGATACATTTGACAACCGAAACCCCTTTTGTCATTCTCTACTTGTGTTACCTGTTACACCACAAGCAAAGACCAGTGTTGTTGTCCCAGCACAACTGAAACCCCTCCCAGCACAACTGAAACCCCTCCCAGTACAACTGAAACTCCTCCCAGCGCAGCCCCATGCAGTGTGTGATCCGTGTCTGTGAGGAAGAGAATCATGGTGGACGCTCGTGTTTGGGGACGAAATGAAATACTTAATATCAACATGGACGGACGCGACTGTACAAAACACACTGCAGGTGAAGAGGCTGAATGGTTAACAGTTGGTGATTGGTTGCTGCGTACCGAGAGGATTTGCATATTCCATCCCACAGCAACCGGAGATGCATTTGACTACCGAGTGCAAATACATGGGGCTAAATCTATTCAGGATACAGTCCAGATAGTAGTGACCAGGTATAAGCAGGGTCATGGATGACCCTCAGAAAAACTAATCGTAATGACCGGCACTGCTGACGTTATGCCATGTTCTACTGGAGTGTTGGCTGGTACACCACAAGCAAACACCAGTTTTCTTCACAAAACCTGAAGACTCTTAAGGGGAAGCACACATGGATTGTTGGGTTAGTTGACCTCGACTAGATGTTCTCTATTTTTTTCAGCGGGTAAACGTTGATGTGGTATGAATGAATTGTTTTTAGTCAAGTTTTATTGACTTCACAACTTTTTCTGTTGATCAACTCTACAGTTGGTTGTTATGTCAAGAGCGAACAGCCACGTTGCTTAAAAAATACAAGAACTGCACAGAAAATTGCTTTTTGATGGAAAACTGTTGGTGCTTTTTCCATCTGTCGAATTGTTTGACATTGATCTGATCGTAATCTCATGTTTATATTGATATGAGGCACTGTGTTACGGCTCATTGGTGAACATTGGTTGACCTGCATTGTTTTGACCAGTGTTGGAGTGTATTTCAGGAATGAAAGGTTGGACTGGGGTCTCACGAAGCACGAAGCCAGCTAACTTTAGCTTAGTTCAGTTCAGCCCTGTTTTTTTCTGTTCTGAGATGGTGGATGCGGTGGATACTGCCTGTCTAACCTGCTCCAGGGCCGGTTAAGTTCAGGATTATAGATCATAAACAGCTTTTGGACCAGTCAGGGCTGAGTTTCTAGCCAGTCAGCCCATCAGGGACAGCCTTCTGATGGAGGTGGACCTTTTCGGGTCACTGTTTTTGTCTTTGTGATGTTTGTGGTGTCAATCATGTGAAAAATATTACTTTTCAGCCGAGGAAGCAAATCATACTGAGTGGATATGAAGAGTATAAAGCGTTATTACTCCACTGTGCACTAACACAGCTGTATATCATATTATTTCTTTTTCTTCTTTGGAAAATGTTCTGTCTTTCACACGATTGGTCGTCCTAAACGTCACTCCTTGCGAGTGTCTTAACCCGGATTAGCAGAGATACTGTCATCGTAAAGTAATGAGTTAACTGCGGTTCCGTTTGATGTTTGTTTGAGTGTTTCGAAGCTGGAACTCAGTAAGGAACCCTGTGCTTTGTGAGAGTTGTGCGCTGTCTGTCTAATCTAGAATCTGGGAATCTGATATATTCCAAAGTACATTGGTAACCGTGTCATTGATCGGCCTGTGTTGTCCTTTTTTGGGTCACGTTTGCTGCCTTGAATCATGAAAACAACCTCAGGAACTTGCCTGTGATTGGTCAGGATGTCCACAGCACTCAGTAAGTTGTGTTGTGATTGGCCAGTTTGGCATATTGCAGCCCAAATTAGGGCTGAACGCTTTAAGAAATATCAAAGTACAATGTTTCTGACTAATATTGCAAATTATTTTCTAAAAATTGAGATTCAGGCCTCTTTTTTTGGTAAAGAAGTTCAGAATATGCAGTTTTTCTGGCCTGGCAGTAAGTTGTGGTTGTGATGTCACAACACAAGGAGGTTCAGTTGCCTCTGATTGGTCTAACTCATCTACAGGTAGTTCACAAGCTCTGTGCTGTTAGGTTAAATTTCGCCTCTAAAACTTAAGACAAGGTTTTTGATAATGTAGGCTGTTTTTTTTTACGTTTTAAATTTTTACAATTTGCAGCTCTTGTGATTTCAGAATTGTGCTCTTAAATTGTGATTTCGATATAAAAACAATTGATCTTTCAGCTCCAGCCCAAATTATGACGAACATACTAATAAGCAACAACTTCATCAATGTAAAAGTGATATATCGTTCCGTCTGTAGGTTTGCAGCTCTCAATGTTCTTCTGTGGAGTTTGGATTGTGTTTCTCAGCTTCTGGTTTTCAGTTTGTAAGTTTCAGAGTCTTTATTTTTGCTCTGAAACTGGTTTCATAACGAAACTCAGTTACTTCATGTCTGGATGATTATGGCTGGGTTGGGTTTTTTTTTGCCTGTGGACAGTAGCAGCGCTGTGGCAGCGCTGGTGTGGGGTTGTTGCTCGGGAAAGCCGCATTAGGGAGGTATTTGGGAGGCTGTTTAGCCCGAGTTTGGGGTCGTTTTGAGGTGTGCGAGCTGTTCTCTGGCTTCATGGCGCCCGCGGTATGCGGCCTGGAGCAGCTGCTTTCCATTAGAAACGCGCCTCGGGTCTAATTTTAGTGCAGATCCTGCCTGCTGAAGCCATCGAGCGCTGCGTTTCAGGCTGTTTCTCCGGGAAATCCTGAACGTCTGGCTGGATTCTGCTCAGCCGCAGCCTGCAGGGAAATTCCACTGGCTCAGTCCGGCCACAGCCTGGATCCCTGAGTAAACATGGGCCGCTTTAAGCCAGCGTTTACGGCCCGGGAAGCTCAGGACAGGGGCTGTGGGAGGGCACAGTGCTCTCCCCTGTGTTCAGGAGGTCAAAACACAGGCCAGAATGATGCTGAATAAAAGGAAAAGTAATAATACATAATGTAGCAGTGTATGGTGATATACTACAGGAAGTGTAGGGGGCGATATGGCTCCTACTGTTTCATTTAAAAAGCCTCTATAATGTTCATATGATCCACACAGTCACTCTGACAGACTGTAATACACTACAGGAAGTGTAGGGGGCGATATGGCTTCTACTGTTTCGTTTAAAAAGCCTCTATAATGTTCATATGATCCACACAGTCACTCTGACAGACTGTAATACACTACAGGAAGTGTAGGGGGCGATATGGCTTCTACTGTTTCATTTAAAAAGCCTCTATAATGTTCATATGATTCACACAGTCACTCTGACAGACTGTAATACACTACAGGAAGTGTAGGGGGCGATATGGCTTCTACTGTTTCATTTAAAAAGCCTCTATAATGTTCATATGATTCACACAGTCACTCTGACAGGCTGTAATACACTACAGGAAGTGTAGGGGGCGATATGGCTTCTACTGCTTCATTTAAAAAGCCTCTATAATGTTCATATGATTCACACAGTCACTCTGACAGACTGTAATACGCTACAGGAAGTGTAGGGGGCGATATGGCTTCTACTGTTTCATTTAAAAAGCCTCTATAACGTTCATATGATCCACACAGTCACTCTGACAGACTGTAATACACTAAAGGAAGTGTAGGGGGCTTAATTGAAATAAAATTGTTAAAGTTTAATTTAGTTTATAAACATTTTAAAAATTTTGAAGTGATTTATTCTTTCACACATTTCCACTTATTTAGCCTACAGCTTTTAAGCTTCTTTAAGCTTAAGTGTGGGCGGAGCTAAACTGCTGTTTTTCACAAAGATGTTAAATTCAAAATGGGTCTTTTAACAGCTTAGCTTCTGTATATTAACAGTATAGTGAATAAAGCAATAATCCACTTGAGGCTGTGTTTTACTGTGATTTTATCATTTCATTTTTGTTGTATAATAATGAATGTATGATAACACAGCACTGTTCAATACAAAAAATTTGCTTTGTAAGTACTTTTTGGTACAAAATCACCACCGCGAGTCGTATTTAGCACCAATCCAGCGGCGCCCTCTTTTCACACTGGGGCTGAATCTCAAACAGCTCCCTGCTCCCTACATAGTGCACTACAGTGGAGTTTAAATACTGGATCCTGCAGCCCAACAGAGCAAAATACAGCTATGAAACAGTCATTTGGGATTCAGACACTATTTAGGGAGTACAGAGCCGTTTGGGAATCAGTCTGGGTTTGACGTGACTTCTGACTGAAACACAACATTTGAAGGGTGTAAAACATTAAAGTGACATTTTTAGATTTTTACACTGCAGTTTTACAGTGAATCATACTGTAAGTGCTTTAATTCAAGCATGTGATATTATTGATGTAGTTGTTTAGCCTGTTTGCTGTCTTTTAGCCTGTTAGCTAGCTGACCAGCCTGGTTCTAGATAAGAACATAAGTTGCTCCTCAGGTTAAACAAAGAACGGGTTCTTTCTTCATCAGTACACTCGGTGCTCCATGTGAGCAGCATGAGAGTCAAAGATTATTCATAACAGCAGAAGGATTTTTTGTGCCGTGGCGTAGAAATATATAATTCGGTTGCTGTGAGGCGTCATCAGTGTGCATATATGGTGGATTTTACAACGGCTTAGAAAGTGGCTCAGCCAATCAGATTTTAGGTCCAGAACTACCTGTTTTATAATGTTTTTGAAACTCTGTGTTACTATGCTGACGCCTTATGTTTAAAACAAACCAGAGGAGATGGGTTCTCTGTGATATGGGCTCTTTAATAAGTGACCTGTAAAGTAGATTTTATCGTTTTGATGCGCAGACAGAAGTGATGATGGCGTCGACAAAGAGAGAAGAACTGAGTTAGATCGATCAATGAATCGGATGACAGTAAATAGATGAACGGATTGTAGAAGTGATCCCTGCAGTAACAGCCTGTAGTTCAGAGAACACTAATGGAGAGATCTGTGAAGGACTGTTAGGTGGAAAACAAAAGGGACGGACATGATCTGACTCCAAACAAAAGAGCAGAACAGAGTGGAACGTTTCTGCAGAACGTTAAGGATGATGTCATTGTGCCCACCCCTGTGAATGCTTTATATACAGACATTGATGTGTGATGATGGCATCTGGGTGCAGGGGTAATGCATTCTCTCTCTCTGTCTCTCTCTGTCTCTCTCTGTCTCTCTCTGTCCCTCTCTGTCCCTCCCTGTCTCTCTCTCTCTCCGTCTGTCCCTCTCTCTCTCTCTCCAGTCAGACGGTGGATCTGCTCATGCAGGAATCTGGCTGTAGACTTGAACATCCTTCTGCTACCAAGTTTCGGAACCACGTGATGGAAGGAGAATGGGACAAGGTGTGTACTTGCTTGCTTATTTATTTATTTATTTGTTTGTTTGTTTACGGCAGTCCCAGCATCCCCTGACCAGTGTCGATAGAAAAAGGCTGGTGAGATTTTCACACTCGTAGTTGCATGGTCTGTGAGTCTCCTGGGCCGCTAAAGCTACCGTAAAGGCTAGAAATGATACGCCGATTACAGTAGGACCACCCAGTCGAAATAAATAGTTCTCCACAGTTTATAGGTTATAGGCCCAGGTTCAAATAGGACACCGTCTGGGTCCGGACTCGGACTGCGGTCTGCCTGTTAGTGACCTCTGACCCATTATATTAAATGTTTCTTATATTTCTATCTAGGAAAGTTACACTGCGATAATTATCGTTATCGTTTTATCGCCCAGCCCTCCTGCTGAGTGAACAAAGCCTAAAAGACTGGCTGCCTCTTCTGTGTAAACTGAAGCCGTGTTTGATCTACCGTGTGTCTCTTTTGTCTCTGTATGCTTTAATTTAACGCAGAGCTGTCAGAACGCTGCGTGACACACTGAGAGCAGTGCTCGCATTAAAAACAGTGGTCTTGAATTTTTGAATACATGCACAAAAAAGCTACATAACACAGTAAACAGTCAGTCCTGCTTAAGCCTTGGGTTCAGTACACGACTTTTAAAGTCTGAGCAGATTCTAACAGATTGGGTGTCTCACACTATCCGACTGGTTTTTGCCTTTTTTTTGTGGGGGGGGTGACTGAAATATTAGGGATCACACACTACTCAGCTTTTAAGCTGTTGCTGAACCGAGCGGAGCTTAATGAATTCGTGTGAACTCTCATGTTCTCTCATTACTGGGAGACGCAAATAAACAAACATGTGCTGCTGCTGCTGTTTTCTCTGCCGTTTGCGCTGAAACAGTAAAGAAGCAGCAGGTAAACATGTTTAAGAGGATCATGGATCTAAAAATGTGATGTGTCGGATTTTTAGAGTTTTTTTTTAGAGTTTAAACAAAAATAAAATCGATTGAGCCTTAAACTCAGCTCATTAAAAAGCTTCACTCCACACGAGACTTTTCTCCATTATTCCTTGTTTACTTCCTGTATTTCCTTCTTTCGCTCTCAGTTTTTATTGGCTGTTGCAGGAATATGTCCAAATTCTGTCGTTGACTAGTCATACTAAATATCGGCATTGGCTCACGGTTCTCAAATCGGGGAGTCCCTGATGGTGACGACGCTCATGATACGCTCTGCAAAGCACTGTGTGACTTTGTTTATCACAGTAATGATGAGTTTAGTCGTATTTCCCGCCTCAGGCGCCAAGTCAGTGCGTCCGTCCGCCGGTCTGGAAGCTCTGAGCGCCGTTCAGTCCTGACCAATCAAACTGCTGAACTAACTCTTCTGTTTCTGTGTGTTTGTGTGACGCAGGCAGAGAACGACCTCAGCGAGCTCAAAGCCTTGATGCACTCACCCAACGCTGTCGTGGTAAGCCTCTCTCGCCCTCGCTCTCTCTCTCTCTCTGTCTCTGTCTCTCTGTCTCTCTCTTTCTCTTTTTACTCCTTCTCTCTCTCTCTCTCTCTCTCTCTCTCTCTCTCTCTCTCTCTCTGAGCCTCTGAAGGCACGTCTGGAACGAATCATGTGGAATGCAGCAGCACTGATGAAGCTGAGCTGCTCTCTGATTGGTCGGTTTGATGTTCTGGAATGTCTCTGGCAGCCGATACTCGCCCAGATTTGGGTCGTTACAGTCTGAACAGCTCGACTCGCCGCTCGTCACTCTGACGCGTCCTGACGCCTTTCAGTCGTAGCGACGTTTTAGCGATGGAGCTGATCGAGTCCGCCTATAAATGAGCTCAATATCCTATATTGTGATATTGTTGTTTGTTGGGGAAATACTGTGATATTGATTTGTATCAATACAGTATCAATACTCTGCTCTTCTACTTAAGGACCAACATAACGTTTCTAAACCGGACGGAAATGTGAAAAAGGTTAATTCCGTTCGTTTTCCACAGGCCGTATGTTGGACTGAGGTAATAAAGTAACAGGTTTGGAAAGCTGTTAAAGCCGTACAGACGGCGTAGCAGCGTTAGCTATGTTAGCTAATGCGGCAGACAGGCGCTAAAACCAGCTGAAAGAACCGGTTCTGTTTGTGAGAAACCCCAGAATGGATCCCAGCAGCGCCGGAGAACAGGACGTTTATGAAGTACTTATAAAGAGACCTTTGTTGGTCCAGAGAGACGGGAGAGCGTCTCCGGAGAGTCGGAGCTCCAGCGTTAAGGACGGCCCGGAGGCCTGAGCGCCGCAGCGATGCAGGCTAATTAAACAGCACCAGCTTGTTAGCGAGAGAGGCTAAACAGTGTTGAGTGTCCTGATGAGTGTCTGGAGAGACGCTGCTCTGCTTCCGCAGTGATGTTGACGGACGAAGGAGGTCAAAAAACGTAAATGAAGGACAGACAATGTGGCGTGCAGGACTGAAAACATAAAGCAGTTTAGCACTAGCATTAGCATTGGCTTGGTATAGTAAAATGAACTGATAGAGTTATCAATTAAAAAAATCACTTGGCTTTCGATTTTAATGTTCAGTTCTATGAAGAAAAATATGTATTATTTAACAGAACATTCATAAACAACGTGCTTGTCATGCAGTCAGGTCAAAACATGTCAAATTACATGGTACATGTAACATCCATCCATCATCTAAACCGCTTATCCTTCTGGGTCGCGGTGGGGTGCTGGAGCCTATTACACGTAACGTGGTAAATGAAATTTTATTTAAAGAATAACACGCTCACTGGCGAAGCTGTGATTTAAATGTCTTAATTTTTCAGTTTTAAACATTTTAAGCCAAATTTTTAAGCCTTAAACTGAGATTTAGCTCAAGAGGATCACACTGCTGTCAGCACTAGCTAGACTGGTTAGCTGTATTTAACGTAGTTAGCTACATTAGCCTGGACTGATAGTTGGCGGTGCTGAATAAAAGCAGGTCATGAGCTCAGACACAGTGGAGAAGTGCTTATTTCAGTCTCTGATACATATTTAACAACGTCGGCTAATAAACGTGATAAAAATGCTGTGTTTAGCGATTATGGCTAGCAGCCCGACGCAAACATAAAAAAAAGGCTACATTAGGTCGACTCAGCCAACGACTCTGAGACTGGAAACACTTGGAGTCGACTCTTCGAGTCTGTTAACTCTGTTCTTTGATCATAATCGGTTCAAAGGATGTTTTTATGGAGGCGAGTGTGACGCAGGGCGTTAAACAGTCAACACAAGTCGTTTTCGATTTAAGGTTGAAATAAACCGTGATTACAAACAGTAAAAGGGGCAAAAACTGAAAAACAAACAGTATTTTTCACAGAGTGTCACGGAAAAGTCACAACTTCTTATTTGCCTGCCTCTTATTCAGATTTTCTGTTCCGCCCTAAAGGGGAACTCTACCAATTTTCCCAAATTTCTGTAGGAAATACGGAGGTTGACATATAAACATTCAGAGTGGTTTGATGTGAAAAGGTTCATCTGCAGCGAAACTTACTGACACCATTTTACTTACTGTCCAAAACTGCCAGTTAACCCACACAAGTGTATTATGAATTGTTGACAATGGTGAAATACTGGTCAACCTGGGGAAAAAAAAAGTTTTCTTTGGGCACAACACCCTCTATTTATCCCTCCACAATGAATAGACTGAAATAAGCTGAGTAAAGTACGTTATAGACCAAAATAACAGTGTCTCAGTCATCAGGCAGTGAATTCATAACCATTTCATGTAGGAACTTTCTGTGAGGGAGCTTTTAGAGGTGGACGTCTGGTTCCTATCACCACCACTGTGAACAGTTCTGACTCGGTAAGTTTGTCTAGAACAGAGTGTTTCACACCAAACCGCTCTGAATGACTCTGTTTACATCTTAACTGTTTAATTATGTGGGAATTTTGTAAAATTGGTGGGATCCCCCTTTGAATCTGATCTGAGCTGCGTTCCTGAATGGGTAAAATAACAGACGTTCTGGCTCTCGGTCCCTGAACCTACAGAAGTTTAATAAGTTTAGTAAAGAGGGGGTGTGTGGTGTGTGTTGGGGGGTGGGGGGTGTTCCGCCCAGCATGGACGGTCAGTGTGACACACAGATAAGCGGTGTGTGAACCTCCTTCAGTATCAGCTGAGAGCAGAATTCAGTGCTGAGGGTGGAGGTTACAGAGACACTGCGACTCCAACAGCACTTTATACAGATCAAATTACCGTTAAATACTCGGTCTCCTCCCCGTGAGCTACCGCGGCTCGTTTTCTTCTCCTCTCACGCTTCTTTTTCTTCTTCTGTTGTTTAACGGGTGACGATATCCTGCCTCTGCTTCCTGTAAGCGGTCCGAATGTCTTTGTGCACCCAAAAATGAAATAAAATTGCTTTCAGTGACCCTAAACCTTAATTACGATTATTTTATTTAAATAAACAATCGAAAATTCCATCTTGTTATTAGGAAAACAATCCCAACACTCCTGGAACTTTACCGAATTCCACCATGAGGCTGTTTTCTGAGTATGTGATGGTTACATTCAGTATTTCTAGAACACTGAACACACTGGACCTTCAACGAGACACGTTTAGACCGATTATATAGCCTGTAAACGACCACCAGCAGTGGCACCGTACATCAGATTAAAGCTGCATAGAAACAGGTAGCCGATTGGATTTTGGCCCACTTTGCTGCATTTCCTGTTTACTGAATAAAACTAGTTAATAAAGCGAAAAATTACTGTTCTTACAAGATAAACTTAGAAGCATTAATTATCGTAATATGCATTATATGGGCCACCCCAGCATAAACGATAAAAAATTAAACTGAACTAAAAACAGTTCAAGATTCAGGTTTGTTTTTATATTGTTTGTATTTGTGTTATTTTCTGGGGGTAAAGGCTTCCCCTCTCTCTCTCTCTCTCTCTCTCTCTCTCTCTCTCTCTCTCTCTCTCTCTCTGTAGAGGATGAAGTTCCTGCTCCTGCAGCAGAAGTATCTTGAGTACTTGGAGGACGGGAAGGTTCTGGAAGCGTTACAGGTGTTGAGAGGAGAACTGACGCCACTCAAGTACAACACAGACCGCATCCACGTTCTCAGCGGGTAACTGACCGGCACGCCAATAACCCAGAACCTCGGATCTGTAACCTTTAACTGATGAGCGTATAGGCCTGATGAAACTTTAAGGCAACTTTAGGAAAAGAACAGCAATAACAGCGGGAAAGATACGTGAAGATGATAAAAATGCTATGAAAATGTAAATTGGGCGTCGTGGATAAAATATGAGCAGCTAATTTGATTAACTAGTGAAGTAACTTTGTTGAATGTTTTTTGCATGTAAAGTCAGTCTAAGCAATAACAAGAGTTACAGCAGCATTACTGCTACTGAGCGCTGATTGGTTAGCGTTGCTGCTGCTGAGCGCTGATTGGTTAGCGTTGCTGCTGCTGAGCGCTGATTGGTTAGCGTTACTGCTGCTGTGTGCTGATTGGTTAGCGTTACTGCTGCTGAACACTGATTGGTTAGCGTTACTGCTGCTGTGCGTTGATTGGTTGGCATTTGAGTGTCGCCGTTTGCTGAATGAACAAGGTAACCAATCCAATCTGTCGGTCACTAAAGCCAAACTGAGCTGTTGGCTACGTTTAAACACCTACATTTTACCTGTGTTATTTCCTCCAGCACATTTTTACATTTGTAGTGAAAGATGTGCATTTTCAATAGAAGTGTTTCAGTGCAGACTACAGACTAAACTTCAGCACAGCTTCATCAGACCAGGGTGGTCTCTCCCTCATATACAGGACAGCAGGGGGACACGTCAACAAAGAATGTTGAAAGACTTTAAATGAACTTTGACCAGGAAAAACTTTAATTAAAATACCTACATTTACTGTGTGTGTTTTTGTCATGCAGGTATCTGATGTGTAGCCATGCGGAGGACCTGAGGGCGAAGGCTGAGTGGGAGGGAAAAGGGGTCAGCTCACGCTCCAGACTACTGGACAAACTACAGAGTGAGAAACCCCAACACTCTCTCAGAAGAGCTCTGATCTGTTCTTTTCACATTGAGTGTACACATCCACACAGCCTGGCCCCAGTAGATATACAGCACTGTGCAAAAAACCAGAGACCACCTTTCATTTATTTAGCTTCCAGTCAAAACAGCCATTAAGCACGAGTTATTCTATCTATATTATTATAGATATTTCTGAGGAGGTTAGAGAGAAGATAATCCACTTGCTTAAGAAAGGAGAAAGTCAGAGTGAGTTTCCAAACACTGATTAAAAGCTACTGAGAAAATGTGGCTCCTAACAACCACCTGGAAGAGCTGGTCGACCCCAAAACTGCCCCCATCAGATAAACAGCACTTAAAGCTTTCATCTTTGAGAGAGAGGAGAAAATCAAGCTGCTTCAGATCTGAAAACATCCACAGGTGTTTCTGTCCATCCTTCCACTGTGAGAAGACGACTCAGCGCTGTGGGTCTGAAAGGATGTGTAGCTGATCAAGAAGAACCTCACTGAGAAAAGGAGACGGACACATCAAACAAAGAAGCTGAATGATGGACTGACCACCCCAGAGTCCAGACCTCAACACCACTGAATGTGTTTGATTACTTCAGAAAATCATCAACCAGCTTCTAAGACTGAACTTTGGAGGTGTGTCTGCAGATTCTTTGAGGAACTGAAAGTGAGTCTCCTGAAAAGAGTGGAAGCTGGAATAAAGGGACTCACTGAACACTCAAACCATCTGATAGTAGATTTTGCTGCTGAGGCTTCTGGGTAACTTTCTGATGCAGAAAAATGAATAGCTTGTTCTTAATAGCTGTTTTGGAAATTAGATTAGTGTATAGTGGTCTCTGACTTTTGCACAGAGCTGTATGTGCACAGATACTCTTACACGTTTATACACGTCCAGACTCGCGTTTTCAGTTATAATCATCTCTGAGTTGCTGAGCTGGTTTCTTGGTGCCAGAATAAGATTAAATGTGGGCTGTAAAGAGCTTAATAGGGTTTAATCATTATTGGCATTGCAGTCCTTTGTTTGAAGGGGAATTCCACCAAAATTCCTCCATAATTCAGCGTGTGAGGTGTAAACAGAGTGATTCAGAGTGGTTTGGTGTGAAATGGTGTCTTTACAGTGGTGGTGTTAGGATCGCCATGACTACAACACAGATATAGACATTTTATTTACTATCCAGAACCACCAGTGAACCTACACGAGTCTTCTGAGTTTATATGGAATGTTGATGATGGAAAATAGTGGAAAATCTGAAATAATAAGTTTTCTTTGGGGACTATTTTGCCTCACAGCGCCCTGCATGTATCCCTCCACCATGAATGGAGTTTAAGTTCTCTAAACTATCATAAAACAGTGTCTCAGTCATCAGGCAGTGAATTCATAACCATTTCATGTAGGAACTTTCTGTGAGGGAGCTTTTAGATGTGGACGTCTGGTTCCTATCACCACCACTGTGAACAGTTCTGACTCTTTAAGTTTCTCTAGAAACTTTGTTTACATCTCAACCACTTAATTATGCAGAAAATTTAGGAACATTGGTGGAATTCCCCTTAAAGCCATGTCTAGAAACAAATATAATTTGATATTAAGGATTGTTGCTAATTATTGTGCCTGATGACAATAAATATATGTAGACACACAGTAAATGACACACAGCGCCATCTAGTGTACCGACAACTACACAATTGCCATATTTTCCTGCTAAAACTGGATTGAGGGACAAAACAGTTTAATCATTTTGTCGAAAATGCCTCTGCAGTGCGTCATCAATCTCAAACAGATGTTTAGTGTGTGTGTGTGTGTGTGTGTGTGTGTGTGTAGCATACCTCCCCCCCTCGGTGATGCTGCCTCCACGGAGACTCCACACACTCCTGCGGCAGGCGGTGGAGCTGCAGAGGGACCGCTGCCTTTACCACAACACCAAGCTGGACAACAGCCTGGACTCAGTGTCTTTACTGCTGGACCACGTCTGCAGCAGGTACCCCCCCGACACACACACCTGAGACCACTACGGTGGTATAAAGCCCCCCCAGCATTATGTTAATGTTAACGTACTATTAAAATCTCATAGGGACGCTAGCAGAACTTAGCATTTTTGGCCATATCTGAAACAAATACTGCCCATTAGGGCTGCACGATAAATCGAATTTTCATCTGTGCAATGATTGTTTACACATTGTGTTATAAAACGTTCAGTATATTATTATTCTTAAAATGCTCTCTTTTCCCTGGGTAAAAGATGCTAAAATGGCTAAAGGCTAACAGGTAGCTGTGAACTGTCGGTGTCTTGGCAGTGTAGTGAAGTATGGCTGCCTTCGAAGTGCATCTCGATTCGGTTGCAGGTGCCTCAATCACTGTGTTAACAGGCACTGACTTACGACACAGCAAGACATCGACACAGCCTTCAGTTTGGGACACAGCCTTCAGTATGGGACACAGCCTTCAGTTTGGGACACAGCCTTCAGTTTGGGACACAGCCTTCAGTTTGGGACACAGCCTTCAGTTTGGGCCTCTAAATACTGATTTCCTGTTTGTGTCTGTGTTTTTCCAGAAAGCAGTTCCCGTGTTACACCCAGCAGATCCTGACAGAGCACTGTAACGAGGTTTGGTTCTGCAAGTTCTCCAACGACGGCACCAAACTGGCCACAGGCTCCAAAGACACCACCGTCATCGTGTGGCAGGTGGACCCGGTCAGTGCAGGGCCAGTTCAGCTGACCCCTCTGTAGGATAAACCTCTGTTCTGCATTCTTTTCCGGTTCTCCTGCTCTAGAACACACTTGGTTTAAGCTCTTTAGATCACTATCAAGCACTGTAATTTAAAAATTATACAGGGTGTCCCAAACAAATTGACATCATTTGAGATGTGAATATCTGAGTAAATACATATTAAAATTAAATAAACGGGCTTCATGATGAACAATACAAGATTTATTTATCAAAATTCGAACAAGAAATTCAGAGGGATGGAGATTTAATAACCCATTTCACAGCTTCACAGTTGTAATATCTTACGATACTGGTGGTCGTCCAGACCCCTTTGTGCTGCACAGACAGCCTTCCTCTTTGAATTTTTTGTGCCGTGTCCAAATCTGCTTTCCAGTTGGTGCATTTTACTGAATTTTCTGGAAAATGCCGCTGCACTCTTGTTTGACTGTGTTTGAGCATATTCTAACACACACAATGCCTTTTCATTTCTAGCGAACTCCATTCTTCACCCTGGAAAAAACATTAAAAATTAAACTTGGTTAGTTTTTACTCATTTTGTTAAAATTTGAGATCATTTGAGGGAGAATTGGCTGTTATTAGACTACAAAATCAGTTTTTTTGGGACACCCTGTATATACAGTTTTACCTCAAACCCAAATGTAGTCAGTCAGGCAAGGCATGTATCAGGAGCTACGAGGCTAACAAGCAATGGAAGATTGAACCCGAACGATTAGCATATCGATACACATATCGTGTATTGTGAAAATTTCTTGTTTTTGCCGTATCACCCACCTGTGTGATGTTATGGTGATGACTGTGATTTGGTCACAGTGCTCTATATTCACCGCAGCGCACCCTCTTCGGTGTTCTACTGCTTAAATTAGTATCAGGTGTTTTTAATCAGGCTGTTGATTTGGTCATTTTCTGTCTGATTGCTCATATTTGTCTCTAAAAGCTGTGCTTGTTTTAATATAATAACTACACACATCACCTGTTCCCTCTCATCAGGAGACACACCAGCTGAAGCTGTGGCGGACGTTGGAGGGACACGCTTACGGAGTGTCTTACCTGGCCTGGAGTCCGGACGACACTTACCTCATCGCCTGCGGACCGGACGACTGCTCTGAACTCTGGCTCTGGAACGTACAGGTAACCCCACCTCCAGAGGCACTGTACCTCTAACGGTCCTGCAGGTAACCCTGCCTCTAGAGGCTTTGTACCTCTACTGGTCCTGCAAGTAACCCTGCCTCTAAAGGCACTGTAATGCTACCTGTCCTGCAGGTAACCTGCCTCTAATCGCACTGTAACGCTTCCTGTCGTGCAAGTACCCCCGCCTCGAGAGGCACTGTACCTGTACCTGTTCTGTTCCTCTGTAGGCACTTTGCCTTTACCTGTCCTGCAGGTAACCCTGTGTCTAAAGGCATTGTACTTCTGCCTGTCCTGTAGGTAAACCTCTAGACGCAGTGTGTTACTGCTACCTGTCCTGCCGAGCTTCAGTTAAATTAAATTTTTTAGCTTAGAGTCCAACCCGCAACTCCAGGTTCAGAATCTAAACCAAACTGCAACACGACTAAATATATATTTTTTTTAATTACAAATTTGTTTTTCCTTATAATGAGTTTATGGAGAGCTCAGAGTGCATCACATAATTATAATCACATTATTAAGTTCAGTGTTGAGTGAGTTTTGTCTCCCCCTGGTGTTCAGACAGGAGAACTGCGTACGAAAATGAGCCAGTCTCACGAGGACAGTCTGACCAGCGTTGCCTGGAACCCTGACGGTAAAAGATTCGTGACGGGCGGACAGCGGGGGCAGTTCTATCAATGCGTGAGTCGACCGAGACCTTTTACCGGACTGGCTTATTGATTAATTTACTGTGTGATTGATTACTGTGACTGTGCTGTGTGGTCAGGATCTGGACGGTAACCTGCTGGACTCATGGGAAGGCGTGCGTGTGCAGTGTCTGTGGTGTCTCAGTGACGGACGGACTGTTCTGGCCTCCGACACGCATCAGCGTATCCGTGGTTACAACTTTGAGGACCTTACAGATAGAAACATGTCAGTAGCACTTCCTGTGGCTTCTGTATTACTACTATTATTGATTACTTCTATTACATCTACTTCTATTATACTAGTACTGTTATTATTAAAATATTACTACTACTGTTATTATTAAAATTTTACTACTACTGTTATTATTAAAATATTATTACTACTGTTATTATTAAAATATTATTACTACTCTTATTGTTATATTACTACTACTGTCATTAAAATATTACTATTATAATTTTACTACTACTGTATTATTAAAATATTACTACTACTGTTATTAAAGTATTACTATTGTTATAATATTACTACTACTGTTATTGTTATTACTACTAGTTATTATTAAAATATTGCTACTACTGTTATTACTTGCTATTATTTGCTATTACTTCTATGAGTTCTACTGTTATTATTAAAATATACGTTATTGTAATATTACTACTACGGTTCTTATTAAAATATTACTACTGGTATTGTTATAATATTACTACCACGTTATTGTTGTTATTGTTATTATTGTTGTTTATTATTATTATTATTATTATTATCTTATGGCTGTACAATTGCTAATATCCCTACTACTACAGTTATTAATACAATTTTACTATTGTTATTATTCTACTACCACTACTATTGCTGTGATATAATAAATATAGATTATAATTTATATTGAAATACTGAAATGTATCTTCTCTCGTGCAGAGTTCAGGAGGACCACCCTATCATGTCTTTCACTGTTTCCAAGAATGGAAGATTAGCTTTGTTAAATGTAGCAACTCAGGTAAGGAACAGAACAGTAAATAAGATGTTTTAGTGCTGGCATTGCAGAATCATGAGGTGTCTGAACTCTGTTCTCCAGCAGAGGGCAGTGTAGAGCCTGTTTTACGTTTTAGTCAGAGGAAGAACTGCTGAACACGGCGGTCAAAGCTGCTTAATGAGGAGGCTGGCTTCGTCCTGTTTCCCCCGTTTCATCCAAACGGCAGCGAGCGAGTCCTCAATGAATGGGGGTGAATGGAACCGAACGGCTAAAAACAGAGTTAAAATAGTTTCTAATCACTGTCACAGAACTTTCCTTTAATTTTAGAAAGCAAAGCATTACTGCTACTGAGAGCTGATTGGTTAGCATTACTGCTACTGAGCGCCGATTGGTTGGCATTACTGCTACTGAGTGCCGATTGGTTGGCATTACTGCTACTGAGCGCTGATTGGTCAGCATTACTGCTACTGAGCGCTGATTGGTTAGCATTACTGCTACTGAGCGCTGATTGACGAGCGGAGCAGCTCATTGGCTGTTTGCACTTCCTGACGTGAATGTACATGAGACACCATGTAACTATAACTTGAGTTCAAAAGCTCTTAAAAATATAACAGCGGTGTTAAAATGTTTTACGCTGTTCAGGAAATTAAAGTGTTCTTTTACAGTAAAAGGTGTTTGTAAATTATGATTTTGCTCAAATGCTCCATCTTAACCCATTCATTTTGGACTCATTCGGGAGCGCCCTCTAGTGTCTGGGAATGTGGTTCCATGAGAGCGCTGATGAGCATCAAGTTCATTTTTATACTAAATGATAAAAATGTAATGGAATAAAACTTTCAGTGTTATTTATTATGCTCAGCGTTGGATTCCTCACTTACTGTGTGTACAAACTCACTGTGTTCCAGCTGAAAGATACGAGGTGATGTTAGCTGAGGTAAAAGACCGTTAGCATCTGTCTGTTTACATAAAGGTGTCTCTCTCTCTCTCTCCCCCTAGGGAGTCCATCTCTGGGACCTGCAGGACCGTGTGCTGGTCAGGAAGTATCAGGGAGTGACCCAGGGCTTCTACACCATACACTCCTGTTTCGGAGGACACAACGAGGACTTCATTGCCAGTGGCAGCGAAGGTACACGCAACCCCGCCACTGTGACCTCTGACCCCCAGGACAGTCACCACTGTGACCCCGCTGTCCTGCATCGTGTGACTTCAGGCCACACTTGCTAACTTTTCAGATAGCAGAGTCAGTTTTTTGTTGGCAAACTTGAGTAGAGTAGTTGGCACAGTTAGCTGACGTTAGCTGTTTACAGTTAGCAGAGTTACCTGATTAGCTATTTTAAGTGATAACAGTGTAACTGATTTACATTAAATGCATTTAGTTTATTCGGGATTAAAATACTGTTCAGACTTAAATTAAGCTTTATTAAATGTGTATAACGAGTTTTGATAATATCAGCATAGAATGAGATTTAAAAGTTTGTCATATCATTATGATCTACTGTTAGTCAAGTTTTACACTGTGTACATTATTTTCTCTCTCTCTCTCTCTCTCTCTCTCTCTCTCTCTCGCTCAGATCATAAAGTCTATATCTGGCACAAGCGCAGTGAGTTGCCGATAGCGGAGTTGACGGGTCACACTCGTACGGTGAACTGTGTGAGCTGGAACCCGTGTGTGCCGAGTCTGATGGCCAGCGCCTCCGACGACGGCACCGTCCGCATCTGGGGCCCCGCCCCCTTCCTGGACACACAGGAAGCGGACGGATTCAACGGTACGCTCGGTCACACAGCACGATGACACTCGCACTGAGCACACAATGATATAACCGATCTGAGACCATTGACACTATAGATACGCGGTCACAGACGCTCACGCATGCGCACACAGTCACAGACGGTCAGGTGTGGACACACAGACGCTTGCACGCACACAGTCACAGACGGTCAGGTGTGGACACACAGACGCTTGCACGCACACAGTCACAGACGGTCAGGTGTGGACACACAGACGCTTGCACGCACACACAGTCACAGACGCTCAGGTGTGGACACACAGACGCTCTCACGCACACA